CATTGCTTTCGCCCTTGCAGACTTCCCGCGTCGGCGCTCCGCCGACGGCCTCGAGCTTCGCGACCTTCGGCAGCTCTCTGCCAGCAAGGTGCTCCGCGCGTTTGGAGGCTTCGCTGCCGACATCGGCGGCCACCGGCTCAGGCTCACTGCCGCCGGCCAAGAGTCTTCAGAGGCTGGGGAGCGCAGTGCTGCTGTGCGGTGTGGCAAGGCCGGACTTATCGCCGCCAGTGGTGGACCTGGTCAGTTTGGGCACGCCCCTGCCAACGCATAGTGTTGCGAGGCTGGGAGTAGTATTAGCTGTTCTGGACTTTCAGAGCTTAGAACCGCCGCTGGCCGTAAAAGCATCCGCGCACTTGGACCTTTTTTTGCCAGTGTTTGGCTCAGCTCGCTTTGGACTTGTTTTCACGCTGTCAACGGTAGATGCCGCCCACCCGGAAGTGGCGTTGTCAGTGCATTCTTCCGCGTGGCCCGGCTTGGCCGCGCCCATCTTGGACTTAGCGGTTGCTGGCTCGTCCTTGCCACTGCAACAGCTCGCTCGCCTGGGTTTGGTCATGGCTACCTTAGGTGCCTTGCGCTTGGCTCTGCCACCACCTGCTTGCGGTGTTTGCCTTTTGGAGCCATCGCTGCCCCTGCAGAGCCTTGCTCAACCTGAGCTCTCTTTATTTGCCCCAAGCTTTGCCAATCTAGAGCTGCTCTTGCTGACACAAGGCCTTTCTTGTTTAAGCACATCCTTATTCACTGTTGGCTTGCTGCGAGCTGGTCCTGCTCCTATGGTGCTTGGAGATGCTTCTTTGGGCCTGCCGCCCTTGCCTCGCAGCTTTTGCAGGTCAGAAGCTCTGGCGCCAGCCCTTGACTCCGCATCGTTGGGTTTTTTGTCAGCTGCACGAAGCACAACACAAGTGGAAGCTGCTGCTTTGGCATTGGGAGCTGCAACTTTGGGCGAAGTTTTGTTGGCTTTGGGCGCTTGCCACCCGGACCCCACCTCATTTCCACAAGGTTGCGCCAGACCTGATTTGCCACCCTCCGCTGTGAACTTTGCACGCCTGGGCCTGTCTTTGTTTCCAAGAAGCTGTGTTCGCCCGGGCTTGCTGCTGTCGGTGCCTGCAGTTTGCCGTCCTGGCTCTCTCCTGCCGGCACTGGATTCTGGCTCCTCGGGGTTTTCGCCTTTGGTGCGGTCCAGGTGTCTCACCGGCTCCTGCCCATCAGCTGAAGGCGGCGCCAGTCTGGATGGCCTCCTCTCGCTGCCCGCCATGGACACCGTGCAGCCCAGCCCTTCGCCGCCCCTTCGCGGCTGTGCGCGGCTTGGCTTGGCGCTGCCCGCGCTTGGCTCCGCTCACCTCGGGCTTTCTCCGCCCTCGCGCAGTCTCGTGCGACCAGACGCATTGCCGTCCATCCCGGGCGTGGGAAGAATGGGATTTTTCCTTGCAGCCTTTGGCTTTGCTTGCTTGGAGCTGGCATCAACTGCACGCAGCGCTTCACGCCTGGATTTAGCAATCTTGGTTCTAGATCCCTCCCAGCCTGAGCCGGGCTTGCTGATACGATCCATGTCTAGACCGGGTGCTGCTTTGCCAGTCCTTGGAGTGAGTTGTTTGGATTTGTTGTCTTCAGCCCCGGGATGTGCACATGCAGGAGCTTCGCTTGCGGCGCGCAGCTTTGCCCGGTTTGGTTCATCAGCCCTTGTCTCGAGCTTTTCCTTGCCAGGCCCACCCCTGCCTTTGCAGGCGCCGTCGCACGCTGGCTTGTTGCTTTTTGCCTCCGGGCTCACTTGCCTTGGTGCCTCTTTGTTTGCCCTAGGCATGGCAATGATTGAGTCACTAATGACATCACGAAGCGCGGCATGCTCAGGTTCGGCCTGCTCAGCATGTGATTTCAGCACTCCAGGCTCGCTGTCAGTTTTGAGGAGCCGCTTGTGGCCAGGGCCCCTTCTGAGTGCTTGCGGGTCAGGACAACTGGGCTTTTGTTTGTCGGCTCTCTCTGTCGCATCCTTCGGCCTGCCGCCTCCTTTGCGCAGCCTCTCACAGCTGGACTTCTCGGCGCCGGCATGCGGCCTTGCGCTGTCAGAGCCCCCGCCTGCTGCGCGCAGCTTCAGTCGCTCAGGCTTGACGTCATTTGCTGTGGGCCTGGTGCGGCCAGGCGTCAGCTTCTCGGCCATGGGCGCTGCACACCTGGGCCCAGCTTCAGCTGCACAGAGCCTTGCGCGCTTGGGCCTAGCAGCATCAGCCTGGAGCCTGGCGCACTTGAGCCTTTCCCCCTCCCTGCGCAGCTGCCAAGCTGGCTCCGCCATGTTTGCCTCAGGCGCAGCACGCCCGGGCGCGGCTCTCGCTGCTTCGAGCCTTGCCTCTTTGGACGTGTCGCTTTCGGTGCACAGCCCCAGCCGTCCAGGGACCGCGGTGCTGGTTTGGGGCCTCTCGGGTTTGGACCTCTCGCTGTCGTCACGGTGCACCGCCTGCCCCGACTCCTTTCTGCCGGCCTGCGGCAGATCCACTGCGGGGCCGCTGCTGTCGGCCCTGGACCTGGCCCATTTGGAGCCCACTTCGCCCGCAAGATCCTTTGTCCGCCTCGGATTGGGTCCTTTAGTGCCGGGCGGTGTGCGATCAGATTCACTGTTCACTCTACCTGTCACAGATCTAGTGTCTCCTGAGTCGTCGCCACTTGCTCACAGCCTTGCCTGCCTTGATCCCCCTGCAGTGGTGTCAGACTTTGCTTCCTTGGAGTCGTTGCCAGCATCACAGCATTTTGCTCAGCTAGAAGTGCTGTTGATTGCATGTGGCAGCTGTTGTACTGGTTTGCCCACGCCAGTTGTCAGCCACATCAGCCCCAGCTTCTTGTCGCCTCTCCGCAGTTTCTCGCACCTTGGCCCACCTGCATTAGCTTCAGACCCCACTTCTCCAGGCCTCTCTTTGCCTCTTCATAGCTTCTCACACCTTGGCATTTTGTTAGCTGCCCTTGGCTGCACCACTGCTGGCTTGCCGCTTTTTGTCCTCGGCGCCTTGCACTCGGACCCCGCTTTGTCCCCCAGAAGCCTCGCCCGGCCGGGAGTCGCTTCACCAGCCCTTGGCGCCGCTGACACCGAGCCGCCGCCGTTTTTGCAAAGCGTGGCCCGCGCAGAGGCGTCACTGGCAGCATGTAGGATGAGTCGACTGGGCATGGCAATGACGGTTTCAGGCTGCGGCACTTTGGAAAGCTTTCCGGCTCTACGGAGTTCTGCTCAGTCCGGCGTTTCGGCGCCAGTGCTACAGCTCGCCATCTTTGGATTTCCCTTGCTGCTGCGAAGTATGAGCCAAATTGGATCATCTCCATCTCTGTTCGGCATGTTCTGAGGCGGCCAATTGCCTGTGCAGGAGGCCTTGCATGCAGATCCGTTGCTATCTCCGCGCGGCACCGGATGCTTGGGCGCCTTCTTGCTCGTTCTGAACGCCGCTTCCACCAGCCCCTCAGATTGACTTTTGGGAAGGGCCAGGTACAAAGTAGCGACAGTTCGGCATTTTCGAGTGCGTGCAACCAATCCCGCGTTTGTTTGTCCTTCGTAGGTTGTGTGCCAAGGCCGTAACAGGGATCAGTGGGACACATTGTGCGCATGGGCCATGGGAAAGAAGAGACTTCGGATTCACCAACCAGGAAAACACTCCTCATGAGCGAGGTTCCCTTAAACCCAAGGAATGGGATGTGCGCCGCGGACAATACCAGGGCATCGGCTTTCTGTAGTCCCCTGTCGATTTGTGCTGGAATACGTGTCTCAATGGCCCCATGAACAGCCTCCGGATCACTGGATCCAAACATCCGCTTCCACTTGGCATGATTTTTGGGCCTTTGGATTTTGGGGTCAGCTGCAAAGTTCGGGCCACCCTCAGTACTCTGGTTTTCAGTCGTGGTTTCCTGCTCGTGGATTCACGTATTGTTTCCCTGGGCTCTTTTACTCCCTGTGCTTCCAGTTCCCACTTTGTCAAATAGCCAGGGCTTGCTGCTAAGTTTTACCCGATGTCTCGCCTGGCCTCCTCCCCAACAGATTGTGACTGTGAAAGATCCCTCAGCCTAGACGGGAACTGGAAGCACTAGTTTACGGCTGCATGCTTTCCGCTGCTTGCCTATGGAAAGGCTGAGGTAGGAGCTATGTGACAAAAGAACATCCCAGACCCCCACAAGACTGCCAGGTTCAGAGCTTGCCTCACTGGTGTCCCAGGTGCCCTTCAATTGTGCTAGAGCATTTGGCAAAGCATGTGACCCTGGGTAAGGGCTCCTCAGAGCCCTGTCAGATGCCCGTGTTTATCCCTGGCGTGTTTTCGCCTCAGGTTCATCCTCGTCGTTGCACAGCCTCAGCACAGCCGCATTGCCGTCACTGCCTGGGAGTCTTGGCGAAGTGGGCAACAGACCCCGAGAGCTGGCAAATTCGCCCAGGAAGCTGTTCCTCCCATCCACGAACCTGGAGCGGGAAAGAGACCCTCTTCAACACCGGACGACGGCTCTTTGAACAATATTTAGGGTTTTGGACATGGAACAAAAACCAGGTGTTTGGGGGTGCTGGGTGCTAGGTTCCAGAATAGTGGACGGGAGGGTACATCTCATTCCTGGAGTGACTGGTTGCAGCGACGTGTCCAAGCACAATCTGCTGTATGACCTTCTTTTGAGGTAGGTGCCAACCTCGTCACTCCTCCACGATATGGTTGGTTTGTGTTGGTTTCATGATGGTGCTGCTCCTTGAATCCATCCCCAAGGCTCTTCCCTAGACTTGGGGACCCCTAAACATGGCGGCTTTGATTGAAGAACCGGCCACTCATCCAGGCCCTTTTGCATCCCATTTTGGCCCCACACATTTTGAACAAGGGGAAATCGGTTGTGCGTGTTGGCTCAAACACTAACTTGCTGTCGTTGTTTAAGCCATCCAAAAAGAGGGCTTGTCTCCAAAGGAGAAGCACCCCCCTAAAGAGTAGATTTGCGTAGTTTTACTTAACAACTTGACAAGATCCCCAAACAGGGCCCCAGGCAGCACACACTGAAAAAGACACCCCCAAGCTGTTTGTGTCGGCCAAGCTTTTAGCTTACCAAGACCGGTTTTTGTTGGTTGACTCAACTATCATATTTTGCCCTCCCACCTGCCAACATGGAAACCGACGGGGAGAATGTGGAAGACCATCTTCCTCCACATAAGAGGGATGCTCTGGCAGGTTTCATGGTAGTGCACCAGCATATCAACAAACAACTTTGCTCGATCAGAGTTATTTTGAGGTTGAATCACTGAGTTTTGACATTCTCTCCGCCATTGCCAGTGGCCAAGTTCTCGTTTTTTGCCGAACCTGAGGAGCGCTCGGTCGGACGCTTCGTCGGCAGCGCTGGGACCCGCCGACCTCGGCTTGGCGCCGATTTTGAGGAGCTACGCGAGGCTTCGGGCATGGCGGTGCGCGGGGGGATTGGTACCCTCCAGTTGGGTTGTCCCCTTGGGCGGCAGCAGGGGGCACCAGGGTCCAACAAGGAGCCATGGTGTTGACAACCCCCCCCAGTTATCATGTATCGTAAGGGCCTTGAGAATTACAATGTATGTGCGTGATGATTGGTGTGAACTATCATTGATTTCCCCTTTTAGAAATTTGAGGTTTGTTTTTTTGGGCAACCAAGCCAAAGGGGTCCAAAGTGGCCATGTGTTCAGACATGCAATCGGCCTTTGATATGTGGGGTCTCTCTTGAGATAATTGTTCATAGAGTTCACGAACTGTGCCAGAACAAGCTTTGTGTTGGTTGGTGGGCAACAGCTTATTAGATAGTTTTGGATGTAGTTTTTCGGGTTTTAAAAGATGTTTGGCTTTTGACCCACAGACCCCAGCTATTTCCTTTCACTGGGCGCAATGGATCTCGGGATGTTGGCAGTGTGATTCTTGACTGACGTGGTTACTGTTTCATACTGTTTCTGTTTCCCATCATTCCCGTTAGGGTCCCATGTAAACGTTCCGGATGGAAGCAGAGGTGCCTGCATGGGCCCTTCGCTGCACCCTGAAGCAAAGGAAAATCCAACAGCAGTTCATCCCTTTGTTGTCTGAGAGCCAGAAGAAAGGAGATACTAGGAAAGCCCAGAGAGAACGTAGGTTGGACACTATTGTTAGGAAGAGTTGCAGAAATTTATGGTAAATCATATAGAGCCATGCAACCAGAGCCGGACGATTGAGTGCTTGGATCGGGTAGCTCAAAGCTGCCACTGGATTTCCCACGTTTGCAAGCTGACATGCCCTGCAATTGCTCTTCCCCCATTTGCTGGAGGCAAACACAATGTTGATTTCGCAGGGCTGCAAGGAATGGTCATCAATTTATGAGGACTTGACAAACAACCATCCTCTCTAGCTGCTAGCTTACGCCATCGTCGGAGAGTGCTGGCTGGGAGATTTTCGACCAGAATCATCCCCTCTTCAATGAGCTTGAAGCTTCGTGCCAGGTCAGCTTCCTTCGCATCCATTTCAGGCGCTTCAGCTATGGACTTCTCTCTGCCAGCCCGCACTTTTGCCCAGCCAGATGTGTCAGCATCCTCGCTTGGCATTTCTTGGCTGGGTTCCTTTCCACTCATCTTTGGCGCCACATACACAGACCCCTCCACGGTTTCACACAGTTCCGGCCGTTCCGGGCCGCCCCTTTCCGCTTTTGGCGCCAGTCATTCGGCATCGCCTCCACCTCCGCGGAGTTGGGCACGCCCTGGGCCGATGCTTTTGGCCTTCGGACCTGCGCGCTGCGATGTTTCGCCGCCGGTTCCGAGCCGCGCCACGTCGGGCGCCACCTCGTCGCCGCGGAGCTTTGCGCATTCGGAGCCGGCGGTGTTGGCCTCGGACTTTGCCAGCTCGGAGTTGCCGCCGCTGGCGCGGGGCTTTGTACGGATCGACTTCTTGGCGTTTTTCTTGGGGAGGATCACCTTGGAGACCGGCATGAGCTCGCTGCCGGTGCTGGGAAACGCACTTCTGGACGCCTTGTTGCCTGTGCAAAGCTTTGCCCAGCTGGGACCTGCTGCCTTGACCATGGATTTTGCAAAACTTGAAGCAGTACTGCTGCTCAGGCACCCTGCTCATCTTGGTTTTCTGCCATTTGCCCCAGGCTTGTGCAAGGTAGAGGCCCCGCTGATAGTTGTTGGACACGTTGAGACTGGTAGCCTGCTTTTGTTGCAGTCCTTTGCGCGACTCGGGTCTCAAGTTCCAGTTCCGGGCATGGCACAGCCGGGCCTCTCCACACCTCCAAGGTCTGCTTGTCGGCTTGGCAGCCCTCTGCCAACCGTTGGCAAGGCCTGTTCGGATGTCATCATTTCTTTATGGGGTGCAACAACTCCTGGTCTGCCCATGCCAGCTCGTAGTCCCAGCCAGTTGGGCCTAGGACCCTCGGCCTTGGCTTTCTTCCATCTTGAGTTGCTTCTGTCGTCACGTCAATTTCTTCGGCCGGGACCCAGTCCGCCCCTGCCCGGCACAGCACAGGGCCCTGCGCTGTCGGCTCTCTCCGTGGTTCGCTGTGGTGTGCTGCTGCCACCTCGGAGCCCTGCGCACACTGGCGCGTCGCCTCTCGCTTCGGATGCGGCGCTCCTGGAGCCGTTGCCGCCCCTCAGAAGCCCTGCACACTGCGGATTGGCCGTACCCGCCTTGGACATAATCTCAGCGGATCCATTCTTGTTGGTGCGCGCGTTCTGCCACCCAGAAGCTGCAGCTTTGGTTGCGGGCATGAGTCGTATCGGATTGCTCTTCTTGCTGTTTGTGGTGGACTGCACAACGCCCGCCTCTCCGTTGCTGCTTCAAGGGGTCGCTTGTTCAGGCCTTGCACCCCCTGTCTGCAGCTCTGCCTTCCCAGGTTCCTTTCCTGCCCTGCGTAGCTCTTCTTGCTTAGGTGCGCTTCCTTTGGCAGGCAGAATGGCAAGCTCCGAACTTTCAGCGCTGGCGGTATCGTTTGCCATCCTTGGACTTTTCCTGCCACCTCGGTCAGCCTCTCGCGCAGAATCTTCACCCTTGTGTTTGGGTCCTGCTAGCTTTGGCGTTTTGCTAGTGGCTATGGACTTTGCCACTTCAGGCTCCGGCCTATCTTTGCGATCATCTTCTCATTTGGGCCTCCCGTTATTGGCGCTTGGCGTAGTGAGGCTTGGCTCCATCTTCCCGCCACCAGCCGCAGATTCCGCCGCCCTTGGCTCAACTCCCGCGCTGCGCAGTCTCAGCAGAGCGGGACTCGCCGTTTCAGCTTCGAGCCCCGCGAGTTTCGACTTTTCGCCTTCCTCGCGCAGCTCAACCTGCTCAGAATCGAGTCTCCTGCTCTTGGGCCGCTGTCACGTGGGCTTCCCCCTGCAAGCTGCCTCGTTGTTTGCCTGCAGCCCTGCCCACTCAGATCTTGCCCCCTCTGCACAAACCTCCGCTCGCTCGGGTTTCCTGTCGCTCGCCTGCTGCGCCGCGCACCCGGATGCCTCCCCACCTACACGCGCCACAGCTCCTTGGTGGCACAGTGGCAGCTGTTTGTTCCTTTGCTGGGTGAGTTTCTTATTGAAGTCGAACAAGACAAGAGGTATCCTATAGTGGTGGTCTTGGGTGACTGTGTCCCAAACGTACCTTATCTCTTCCTTTGTTTCGAGTGACTGCGTCCCTGGTTTCCCTTTTCGACCCATCAAGAAGGCATCCTTGTCTAGAAGGCTTCTCGCGGGGTTGGACCCCGTTGGACCTCTTAGGGCGGTTCCCGTCCGAGGTCCAAAAATGTCAGGGAACCAACCAAAAAAGAACAGCTTTTGGGGGAGTCCTGTTTACCTTTCAGCTGTAGGGAAGCCACCGGTTTTTAGTTTGAAGAGCCTGTTGTTTGGAGTCATGTCAGAAAAGGGGGTGTATCCTTTTCGTTTGTCCGTCACGTTTGCTACGGCTTCCATACTCCTGTCCGTTTCTGCCTTGACCCCAAAAGGTTCCCCACAAAAGGAACAATTCCGTGCAAAAAGAACGGACATCATGTTGGCGGTCGCTTTTGTCCTTTTGTCCTTGTTTCCCCAAGTCCGTTTATCTCTGGTTTTCTCCCAACAGGCTCCAATTCTCTTCTAAATAACTTCGGAGTGTGGAATCGTTTTTTGGCCCATGGAGGACATTCACTGGGTTTGTAGAACAAAGGGGCATGTCGATGTTTTGTCCTTTTGCGTTTCAAGTTCTAGTTTCAGGTTTCCTCTCCCCCAGAAATAAGCCACCCCTCGTTCAAACAGTTTAAACAACATCCTTTTAGTTTCCCCTTGAAGGGGACGGGAGTTGGTAGTTTGGCCTAGGTTTGGAATGGCCCACAGTTTGTTGATTTCTCCAGAGGATATTGTTGTTCCTTGATGTTTCCAGACCCGATCAGAAACAAACCAATATCCTTGCAATACCCCCTATCTAGCACCCAGAAAGCCACTGAAGTCACAAGTGGGTTAATGACACCAAGGGACAGTTCCAATACGCGCCCTTTTAGTTCCCTACATTGGATTGGGTAGACGCTTCAAGTAATTGCCAGGTGTTCATTGTGACTCACTTGGGGTAATTTGCTACTTGGGGAATGTGTCAAAACAGGATCACCCAACGAAGAATAAAACAATGTATCAACATGTTGTTTTGGATTTACTTTGCGCCAACCCCAACAAGAGATAAGCAGAGCACCCTCAAAACGTCGCAACTTGAAGCAAAGGCTCGGCCCGGCTCGCCTCCTCCGACCTCGGCCGCGTGCTTGGGCCTGCCGGTTTTGGTGCTGCACAGCGCCAGCTTGGGCTCTCCGCCGCCCTCGCGGAGCTCCGCGCGACCGGAGGAGCGACTACCGCAGTCTGCGGCGATTTTGGTATGAATTTTCAGGGACCGTTTACCTGGTGGCTCCCAGCCATCCCCTTAGCTTTTTAGCCTTTTAGTGTTTAGGGCAGCCCAGTTTAGTGGACGTCATTTTGGTGGGGATTCATCTCCACCACTTTTTCAGGGGTTCCCCATAGAAATTCATAGCCATTTTAGTTGTATATGTTGTATCATTTGTATGAGTCAATGGGTGTCAAGGCGTTTTGCTCAGCTGGTTGTGCGCGTGGTGGCTCAACCCCTCTGTGGCAATTTTGGTAGGTTTTACTACCTTGTTTTGTGGGGGGGGAAGGTTGTAACAAGTGCTGTATCAACCTAGTGAAAGGCGGAGGAGGGCCTAAATACTTTACGACCATGTTAGTGGAACCAAAAGGCAATGCACCACGTAGTTGAGATATGGATCTTCCCCAAAAGCGGGGAATTCACGCTACTGTGCAGGGGGAATCCCAGCGTTTCTGAATACGTGCCTCAAACAACGGAGCTATGACTTTGCGCCAAGGACCACGAAGGGCTTTGTATTTCCCGCTTCCCCTGATTCAGACCCAATATTTATCCGGATTGTGGCAAGCAAACAGCCTAGGAGAAACGTACTTCGGATCCGGGTCCTGTGACTATTTTGTTGCCATGATCATGAGATTGATCACGTTTGAACATCACATTGTCGGGCGTTGAAGGATTTTGCAAAGCAACCAGCTCCACTTTCAGATGTGCTTCCCTTAAGAAATGCTTGGAGTTCGCGGACAACCAACATATTATTCATACATTGGCTCCCCAAAAAAATGGTTTTCCAACTCCGCTGGCGTCCGTTTCGCTGTCAACTTCTCCCGCGCTGGGAGGTCCCTTCGCCCGCCTCGGCCTTCGCCGCGCCGGGCTTCGCCTCGTCTGCGCGCGCCGTTGCGCGGACGGGCTCCGCTTCCGCAGCGCACGGCGTGGCGCGTTTAGGCGCCGCGCTGCCAGTGGCGCCTGGGCCATGGGGAAGCGGGGCTTGTGATCTTGATTCGTTGAAGGTAGTGTGGGCAGGACCTTTACCGTGCAACACCAACCACTATTGAAGTCACTGTGCGGCTTTGGTTTGCCATATTCTTTACTGAGAGCAAGTTGTGGGCGCTTTCAACCATAGCCGTCACGTATTCAGTCCATGAAGCAATGATCAACGTGAATGGATACCGTGCCAAACTGTCATTTTTCCCTAAAGATAATGTTGACCCCGGATGAGTCAATTGGCGCATTGAACATGTGGGAGTCGATCTAAATCGACGGAACTAGGCTTTGTGTACGGGAGACCTAGTGGATATACAAGGTGTTGCCACACTGTGGTCGCGAAAGAGGGCGTAAGGGCGAGCGAAAGGGAAAGCGGTCGGTGTTATGCACAATGGTTTTGAGGGCCTCAAATGGCTCCAAATGTTATTTTGGGCTTGCGCAAAGCAATTTTCAATCCAGTTTGAAGCATGTTCGGCATGCTGGGTTTGGAATCTGTAGGTGTTTTGATCCGATTAGGATCCTTTAGTCATCAGGGCCTAAGGTCCCCCCTCCAAAGGTCCCCCCCAAAAAAGTTAAGGCAAGTTCTTGGATGGGAGAGTGGATTGCCACACATCTGCAACGATTCAAGAGCCATTTTGGCTCCCGTGCGTCACTGAGCAGACTCTGGAACAGAAATGCTGAATGCTATGGAATGCTGACATTGGCCCGCAGAATCCGCAGAAGTTATTTTCACCGGCTGGAAAACGAGTTCCGGGACCGAATCCGCAGAAGTTATTTTCACCGGCTGGAAAACGATTTCGGGGACAGAATCCGCAGAAGTTATTTTCACCGGCTGGAAAACGATTTCGGGGGCACCCATCAAAAGCTCCTTATAAAAATCGCTATAAAGCAAATTATAAAGCTTCGCAGAAGATATTTCACCGGCTGGCAAACGAGTTCCGGGACAAAATCCGCAGAAGTTATTTTCACCGGCTGGAAAACGATTTCGGGGACACCCATCAAAAGTTGTCAATTAAGCTCCTTATAAAGCTCCAAACAAACCTCCTTAAAAAGCTCCTCCTTACAATGCTCCTCCTTACAAAGCTCCTTATAAAGCTGATCTTCATTGAGATCTTCTTTATAATGCTCCTTATAAAGCTTTTTATAACGTTGGCCCGCAGAATCCGCAGAAGTCATTTTCACCGGCTGGAAAACGAGTTCCGGGACAAAATCCGCAGAAGTTATTTTCACCGGCTCGAAAACGAGTTCCGGGACCGAATCCGCAGAAGGTATTTTCAACAGCTGGAAGACAATTTCAGGACAGAATGCGCAGCAGTTATTTTCACCGGCTGGAAACGATTTTGGGGATCAAAAGCTCCTTATAAAGCTTGTCAATTACGCTCCTTATAAAGCTCCTCACAAACCTCCTTACAAAGCTCCTCCTTACAAAGCTCCTTACAAAGCTCTTCATTGAGATCTTCTTTATAAGGCTCCTTATAAAGCTTTTTATAACATTGGCCCGCAGAATCCGCAGAAGTTATTTTCACCGGCTGGAAAACGAGTTGCGGGACAAAATCCGCAGAAGTTATTTTCACCGGCTGGAAAACGATTTCGGGGACACCCATCAAAAGCTCCTTGTAAAGCTCCTTCCAAAGCTCCTCCTTATAAAGCTCTTCATTGAGATCTTCTTTATAAGGCTCCTTATAAAGCTTTTTACAACATTGGCCCGCAGAATCCGCAGAAGTTATTTTCACCGGCTGGAAAAACGATTTCGGGGGCTTGTCAATTAAGCTCCTTATACAGCTCCTTACAAACCTCCTTACAAAGCTCCTCCTTACAAAGCTCCTTATAAAGCTCTTCATTGCGATCTTCTTTATAGGGAGCTTTGTTTGGAGGTTTGTAAGGAGGTTTGTAAGGAGGTTTGTAAGGAGCGGAATAAGGTGCTTAATTGACAAGCTTTATAAAGTGCTTTATAAGGAGCTTTATAAGGAGCTCTTGATTCCCAAAATCGTTTTCCAGCCGGTGAAAGTAACTTCTGCGGATTTTGTCCCGGAACTCGTTTTCCAGCCGGTGAAATAGCTTTTGCGGATTCTGCGGGCCAATGTTAGAAAGAGCTTTATAAGGAGCCTTATAAAGCTCTTCATTGAGATCTTCTGTATAAGGCTCCTTATAAAGCTTTTTATAACATTGGCCCGCAGAATCCGCAGAAGATATTTCACCGGCTGGAAAACGAGTTCCGGGACAAAATCCGCAGAAGTTATTTTCACCAGCTGGAAAACGATTTCGGGGACACCCATCAAAAGTTGTCAATGAAGCTCCTTATAAACCTCCTTAAAAAGCTCCTCCTTACAAAGCTCCTCCTTACAAGCTCCATCTTCTTCATAATACTCCTTATAAAGCTTTTTATAACGTTGGCCCGCAGAATCCGCAGAAGTCATTTTCACCGGCTGGAAAACGAGTTCCGGGACAAAATCCGCACAAGTTATTTTCACCGGCTCGAAAACGCGTTCCGAGACAGAATCCGCAGAAGGTATTAACGATTTCGGGACAGAATCCGCAGAAGTTATTTTCACCGGCTGGAAAACGATTTTGGGGATCAAAAGCTCCTTATAAAGCTTGTCAATTAAGCTCCTTATAAAGCTCCTCACAAACCTCCTTACAAAGCTCCTCCTTACAAAGCTTCTTTTAAAGCTCTTCATTGAGATCTTCCTTAGAAGGCTCTTTATAAAGCTTTTTATAACATTGGCCCGTAGAATCCGCAGAAGTTATTTTCACCGGCTGGAAAACGAGTTCAGAGACAGAATCCGCAGAAGTTATTTTCACCGGCAGGAAAACGATTTCGGGACAGAATCCGCAGAAGTTATTTTCACCGGCTGGAAAACGATATCGGGGACACCCATCAAAAGCTCCTTATAAAGCTCCTTATAAAGAACTAAAAAAAAAGCTTGTCAATTAAGCTCCTTGTAAAGCTCCTTACAAAGCTCCTCCTGACAAAGCTCCTTATAAAGCTCTTCATTGAGATCTTCTTTACGCCTTAAAAAGCTTTTTACAACATTGGCCCGCAGAATCCGCAGAAGCTATTTTCACCGGCTGGAAAACGAGTTGCGGGACAAAATCCGCAGAAGTTATTTTCACCGGTTGGAAAACAATTCGGGGACACCCATCAAAAGCTCCTTATAAAGCTCCTCACAAACATCCTTACAAAGCTCCTCCTGACAAGGCTCCTTATAAAGCTTTGTATAACGTTGGCCCACAGAATCCGCAGAAGTTATTTTCACCGGCTGGAAAACGAGTTCCGGGACAAAATCCGCAGAAGTTATTTTCACCGGCTGGAAAACGATTTCGGGACGGAATCCACAGAAGTTATTTTCACCGGCTGGAAAACGACTTCGGGGACACCCATCAAAAGCTCCTTATAAAGCTCCTTATAAAGCACTTTATCTATAAGCTCCTTATAAAGCTCCTCACAAACCTCCTTACAAAGCTCCTCCTTTCAAAGCTCCTTACAAAGCTCTTCATTGAGATCTTCTTTATAAGGCTCCTTATAAAGCTGTTTATAACATTGGCGCGCAGAATCCGCAGAACGGCTGGAAAACGATTTCGGGACAGAATCCGCAGAAGTTATTTTCACCGGCTGGAAAACGCTTTTGGCGATCAAAAGCTCCTTATAAAGCACGTTATAAAGCTCATCAATTAAGCTCCTTAGACAGCTCCTTACAAACCTCCTTACAAAGCTCCTCCTTACAAAGCTCCTTATATATCTCTTCATTGAGATCTTCTTTATTTTGCTCCTTACAAAGCTTTTTACAACATTGGCCCGCAGAATCCGCAGAAGTTATTTTCACCGGCTGGAAAACGATTTCGGGGACATCCATCAAAAGCTTCTTATAAAGCATTTTATAAAACTTGTCAAATAAGCTCCTTATGAAGCTTTTTACAAACCTCCTTACAAAGCTCCTCCTTACAAAGCTCCTCCTTACAAAGCTCCTCCTTTTATTTTCACTGGCTGGAAAACGAGTTCCGGGACAAAATCCGCAGAAGTTATTCTCATCGGCTGGAAAACGGTTTCGGGACGGAATCCACAGAAGAAATTTTCACCGGCTGGAAAACGATATCGGGGACACCCATCAAAAGCTCCTTATAAAGCAAATTATAAAGCACTAAAAAAAAAGCTTGTCAATTAAGCTCCTTTTAAAGCTCCTTACAAAGCTCCTCCTGACAAAGCTCCTTATAAAGCTCTTCATTGAGATCTTCTTTACTCCTTATAAATCTTTTTACAACATTGGCCCGCAGAATCCGCAGAAGATATTTTCACCGGCTGGAAAACGAGTTCCGGGACAAAATCCGCAGAAGTTATTTTCACCGGCTGGAAAACGATTTCGGGACGGAATCCAAAGAAGTTATATTCACCGGCTGGAAATCGACTTCGGGGACACTCATCAAAAGCTCCTTATAAAGCACTTTATAAAGCTTGTCAATTAAGCTCCTTATAAAGCTCCTCACAAACCTCCTTACAAAGCTCCTTAAAAAGCTCTTCATTGAGATCTTCTTTTTAAGGCTCCTTATAAAGCTTTTTATAACATTGGCCCGAAGAATCCGCAGAAGTTATTTTCACCGGCTGGAAAACGAGTTCCGGGACAGAATCCGCAGAAGTTATTTTCACCGGCTGGAAAACGATTTCGGGACAGAATCCGCAGAAGTTATTTTCATCGGCTGGAAAACGATTTTGGGGATCAAAAGCCCCTTATAAAGCTTGTCAATTAAGCTCCTTATACAGCTCCTTACAAACCTCCTTACAAAGCTCCTCCTTACAAAGCTCCTTATAAAGCTCTTCATTGAGATCTTCTTTATAAGGCTCCTTATACAGCTTTTATAACATTGGCCCGCAGATTCCGCAGAAGTTATTTTCACCGGCTGGAAAACGAGTTGCGGGACAAAATCCGCAGAAGTTATTTTCACCGGCTGGAAAACGATTTCGGGGACACCCATCAAAAGCTCCTTATAAAGCAATTTATAAAACTTGTCAATGAAGCTCCTTATAAAGCTCCTTACAAACTCCTTACAAAGCTCCTCCTTACAAAGCTCCTTAAAAAGCTCTTCATTGAGATCTTCTTTATAAGGCTCCTTATAAAGCCTTTTATATCGTTGGCCTGCAGAATCCGCAGAAGTTATTTTCACCGGCTGGAAAACGAGTTCCGGGACAAAATCCGCAGAAGTTATTCTCATCGGCTGGAAAACGATTTCGGGACGGAATCCACAGAAGTTTTTTTCACCGGCTGGAAAACAAGTTCCGGGACAGAATCCGCAGAAGTTATTTTCACCGGCTTCAAAACGAATTCGGGACGGAATCCACAGTTATTTTCACCGGCTGGAAAACGAGTTTGGGGACCGGCTGGAAAACGAGTTCCGGGCAGAATCCGCAGAAGTAATTTTCACCGTGTGGAAAACGATAATCAAAAGCTCCTTATAGAGCTCCCTATAAGGTATATATAAAGCTTGTCATTAAGCTACTTATAAAGCTCCTTACACAGCCCCTTATAAAGCACATAAAAAGCTCCTTGCAAAGCTCCTTATAAATCTCCTTAGTAGACTCCTTGTGAAGCTCCTTATGAAACTCCTTCCCAGGCTCCCAGCAAAGCTCCTTTCAAAGCTATCTCCTTTTCAAGCTTCTTTTCACATCCTTACAGAGCTCCTTTTCAAGCTCTGTACAGCTTATAAAGCTCCTTATAAAGCTCCTTATAAACATCCTTACAAAGCTCCTCTTAAAGCTTCTTTTAAGGCTCCTTATACTTTCTTTACTACACTTGTAATGGAAAGTTGCGACTTCCGAGCCGGAGCTGCCAAACTCCATTTCCTTTACTACAATTGTACTGAAAAGTTGCGACTTTCCAGCCGGAGCTGCCGACGTGCACTTCCTTTACTACACTTGCAAAGTGTACTTCTTTAATAGTTGCTCACATAGAGAAAGCTCCACTCCCCGAGCCGCGAAAGCCGGCGTAAGGGCGAGCGAAAGGGACTCTGTTTGTCCTTGCAGCGGCACCAACATTTAGATCAACCCCCATGTGCTTTTGTCCCAAAAGTCCAAGATCCCTCCTAAAGGGGACACCCCGTACTCGAATTTATTAATCAGGGATTGCTTCATCCTCTGTTACCTGTTAACATTGCTTTGACAGCGGGGATCCCTTCTGAAGTCGTGTTTCACCTTTTGATTGGGATCCTAGAAAAGAAACAGTTTATTGAGAGAGCATGACCATGGCCCACTTTTGGATGTTTGCCCATGGCAAGTTTGAGCGTATCTTTGCTTAGGGGACACCCGACAATGGATGATGTCCATCCGATTCCCAGCTTCAAACTGCACCAAGAACGGAAGCCTCAGTACAAGAGACCCCCACATAAGAAGACTGACCATGGCGCAATAGCCATTCTACACCTTGTTCGCTTGCGTTTCTTGTTTTGATTGGAAGTAGTTGTTTTGGGGTATTGGAAACCCTGTCCCTCAACGAAACAAGAGGCATGTGGGAGCTGGCTTAATAGGTGTCAGTCGGCATTTGGTATGGAATCCGTTCTCAAATGATGTTCTATTTACAGGACCATACCAAATATGGAACCCGACCTCAACGATTCTATGTGGGGTTCAACAACTGAGGTGGACATGAGGTCAGGTTATCCTTGGATTGGTGGCTTGGGGATTTAAAGCCCTGGTTCTTGAGGTATGGACAACCAGCCAACCTCCATTGAGGGAAGCTGATAGCGACTGATAGCGCTCTCTGTCCGAACCTTCGAGGTCGACTGCCTCCATGCCGGCGCCTTGTTGCCGACCCGGTCCTCTTGCCACGTGGGCTCGGCCTCGGCCGGGGACTCGGACGGGCTGGCATGTGCTTTGGGCTTCGGCGGATCGCAGCCATACGGGGCCTGGAGCTGGTGTTCTTTAAAGTTCAGAGAGATTGAGCCTGGGGATCCACGAATCGCAAAGGTGTGTGTGTGTGTGTTTGCTTCAGAAGACCCAAGGGAAGTTGCCGTGGAAATCACCCTGTCTCAGAATGGATGGTTTCCTTGTGGCGACCCTTGAAAACTATTCAAAATGGGGCTTCGCCAATAAAACAAATCGCCCAAAGAATGCTTCAGACGTTGGGGACCCTTTGCTGCATGTTGTTCCAGGAAAACAAAACAGGCACCGCCCTTATGTTGGGCCTGCCATTCTCGGAAGAAAATGAATCCCCGCACACATGGAAGTCTCCATCGAGCGATACATTTGGTTTTCAGGTCACCAGGTTTTAGCCCTGGTTGCAGTGAGGTTTTGCGTGTCTCAAATTGGGGGCCCCCAAGGATGGTGCGTGGTGTCCTCTCGGCTTGCCTTTAACAACTATCCAACAAAGTCCATCCCCCATTTTGAGACATGTCGTCTCACCTGAACGGAGCAAGCAAAGAGGATACAACCTTCGCTTTATTTCAAAACCACCACGTTGACAGGCTTTGCTGGGGTTTGCGAGTCTTTGATTACTAGGAAACAAAAGGCTGCAATGGTTCGACAATGCACTAGACTTTGCTTTTTGACACATGGCCCTTTCAGTATATAACTCGTTTTTGGGAGCTGCATTCCGGGGAATCTCAGCAAGGCTGCGACAGGCTCAAAGAGCACCTAGCAAATGTTTCAGATGCCTCTTTTAGGCTGGCTTTCGCAGATATCTTCGTAGATATGTTGGGATCAAGATGTCAAAGAGGCCGAGCAAATGACGTTTGACTAGTAAGCTCAAAATAGCCTTGCCAAAAGTAAACGAACTGCCTGAAATGATCCTTGAGAAGAAGTTTGTGTGTGTTTTCTAAGCACAGCATTCATTGCTAGACTTCCGTTTTGGATGATCGTGTTTTGTGAGTCGGCCTGTTCTCGGTCTAAGGCATGGTAGTGGTTTCATGGATGCAATATAAATGAAGAGGGTGGTTATGGTTCCTCAAGGTTGGTAGGAGTGTTCGCTGTTTTTGGTGTTTCTGTTGAGGTTGGCTTAAAGGTACAGCAACATGAGCCGCCATTTTTGAGATTCCCCTACGCATTTTGAGATACCCATATTAACAGTTGCCAATAGGCCACTGCTAACAATGTTGCCCGGTGCAAATCAAGTTCCAGCAACTTCTTGCCTCTGGGAGAGGCCAAGAAGCCTGAATGGTGGCTTTGTACCGTTGCCCGCTTGAAGTAGCCAAGCATGCGCCTTGGTATTGCCACATACATTGATTCACGTTGAAGCCATCCCGTACCATGATGAAGAGTATCATGTTCCCCTCCAAACTGGTTGATCGGTTTTATGTACATGTACAGTTTGCCAACATGTACAGTTTGCCCAATATGTGCATATTAAATATTTTGTACTATCTTCGAATATTTTACCATCGCTACATTGCGCATTGACTGCTGATTTCCTATTGGAACAATCCCCAAGGTTCCCGTTGAGATGGTTGCACCTGTCGCATCCCCGACCGTCTAGGTGGCCTTAGATGCTGCGTACCTGGAAGCAAGCCTGCCAGTGCGAGGCAGAGCATTGGCTGCGTGTTGGTGCGCAGGTCGTGCCCATGTGTGCCTTGAGTCTACATATTTTATATTTGTGTACATGTATCGGTGTGTGTGTGTGTGTGCGTGTGCGTGTGCGTGTGCGGGGGTGTGCGGGGGTGTGCGTGTGCGGGTGCGTGCGTGCGTGCGTGCGTGCGTGCGTGCGTGCGTGCGCGCGCGCGCGTGCGTGCGTGCGTGCGTGCGTGCGTGGGTGTGTGTGTGTGTGTGTGTGTGTGTGTGTGTGTGTGTGTGTGTGTGTGTGTGTGTGTGTGTGTGTGTGTGTGTGTGTGTGTGTGTGTGTGTGTGTGTGTGTGTGTGTGTGTGTGTGTGTGTGTGTGTGTGTGTGTGTGTGTGTTTTTGTGTGTGTGTGTGTGTGTTTTTGTGTGTGTGTGTGTGTTTGTGTGTTGTGTGTGTGTGTGTGTGTGTGTGTGTGTGTGTGTGTGTGTGTGTGTGTGTGTGTGTGTGTGTGTGTTTGTGTGTTTGTGTGTTTGTGTGTTTGTGTGTTTGTGTGTTTGTGTGTTTGTGTGTTTGTGTGTTTGTGTGTTTGTGTGTTTGTGTGTTTGTGTGTTTGTGTGTTTGTGTGTTTGTGTGTTTGTGTGTTTGTGTGTTTGTGTGTTTGTGTGTTTGTGTGTTTGTGTGTTTGTGTGTTTGTGTGTTTGTGTGTTTGTGTGTTTGTGTGTTTGTGTGTTTGTGTGTTTGTGTGTTTGTGTGTTTGTGTGTTTGTGTGTTTGTGTGTTTGTGTGTTTGTGTGTTTGTGTGTTTGTGTGTTTGTGTGTTTGTGTGTTTGTGTGTTTGTGTGTTTGTGTGTTTGTGTGTTTGTGTGTTTGTGTGTTTTTGTGTTTTTGTGTTTTTGTGTTTTTGTGTTTTTGTGTTTTTGTGTTTTTGTGGTTGTGTTTGTGTTTGTGTTTGTGTTTGTGTTTGTGTTTGTGTTTGTGTTTGTGTTTGTGTTTGTGTTTGTGTGTGTGTGCATACGTGCCTGTGCAGACACGCATATGTGTGGCATATGGTTCGCATCTAGGTGCGCATCTCTCACGCATCATGCAAGCATGTATTAGCAATTAGCATATACATGCAATAATGTGTTTGTACATGGGTGTCTTTCTCTATGGTTTCGCATGTACACATTTCCCTCAGTCCCCTTTTGTTTCTTTGCGTGGTGCGTTAAGTGGTAAATAGCTAAAGTAGTTGGTTAATGTATGTTTAATGTATGTATTAATTGGAGGGAGTGAATTCAGGTGGTTAGGGCTAACTTTGTTTGTCAACAGGCAGCCTAAAACAAGTCGACTGAACGTGGTTTCCTGTTGGACTTCTTGCAGAGATTGGCCTTGCTTCTTTCCCACGGCTAAGTGAGCTCGAAGGCGTTTGCCTCTTGGACAATATCAACTTGAACCTTGCATTTGTGGTTGTTGATTCAGCCGTGTGGGTATTTTGACTATCAATGGTCTTGTTTGCAGTGAGTTTCTTCTTGTTGGGGTGATGGTTCCATTGGGGCAATATGTTTGGAACCCTCTTTTTGCATGAAGATAATTTCCTAAGCTAGCTTGTGATAGACATCTGGAGGGTGACTGAATAGTCCATTGTTGTTTGATTTACCCTGAGGGAAACCTGAGTGTTCCCATGTTTTCTATTGTCCAGACTCACTGTTCAACAGACTCATGAACATCATGATCCAGCTATGACCACGTGACCAGAGCCGAGGGGACGATGCTCACCAAGTGAACGCGACAGATTGCCTTGATCGTAGCAATAGGTGCCGGCCATTGCTTAATCTAGGATGAACCTCACTTCCGTCCAGATGTCCTAACTCATTGTTCATTTCGGGGTTGGTTTCCCTGAAGAACCAAGGCATTAGAAGAGGGTGTACTGCTACATGTCTCCCTTGTTCTTCAAAGCCTCACTCCAAATAGGTTTACACATGCGCAGGAATGTCAGCCCCACGGACATCCGTAGATTTTTCGCCTGCCAGGGTGCATTCGCCTCGGTGTGTCGCCATCGGCCTCTCCTTATGCCAGCTACTCGCCTGCATGCCCGGGGAGCGGCGGTTTCCCTTTGTAGCCCGTGCCGTTTCCCTTGCCTTTGAAAGTTGAAAAAATGAGGATACGCAACTCTTAACTTCGAATCATGGTTGTGAGAAAGAATCTGTTCTGTGATACCAAAGTGGAGGTTCCCCGTCCTGAATGTCACTTCCTGCTTCCCACAAGTATGCGCCCAACCAAAGGACGCACGTTGCCCTACTGCCCTGTGTGTTTCTTCATGGGAAAACCAACCGGACGCCCTTCAAAGCAAAGCTCCCACTCAGCACTGACACCCAGTTCAGGGCCCCACCAACTTCCCCCAAGAAGGTCCCTGATTCAAGCAACGCCACCAATCAAATTGATGGATTCCCCACCAAAAACCCGACCCCTGAGTACGAAGAAAGTTCAGCTGGCCCCCAGGCTCCTGGGTTTCAAAATGCGAGTTCCCCATGGTTTCAAACCAGGGCCCAAGCAACCGGTTGCCTGCTTGCCTGGTTCTCTTTTGCTGAACCCCTGAACCCCAAACTCCCAACAGCCCACTGCAGCTGGTACTGGCCAATGTCGAAACCAGGCGGACCCTGAAATTGGAGGTGTTCCAATTGGTTTCCTACCCAGTCCAAAAATTGGGATACCGAGCCTGGGATGCCGAGCCAACACGCATCCCCCGCGCCCCAGGCTTCTCCAGCCTCCCAGTGGCGCACTGCGTTTCCTTGGGCTCTTCACTTTCGGCCCGCAGCCTCGCGCGCCCGGGCGCGCCAGTGCCGGCGCTGGACCTCAGTGCTCCAGGCGGGCACTGCCTTTCGTTTTTTTTGCCTCCCTCCTGATTTCGACGTGCCCCCCCTTTTTTTTGGGGGGCGGGGTCTTCCCATTTTGGCATACCCGCTTCAGCAAAGTTGGGACTACCAAAGCTCATGGACCCTGCCGGAAAGTCATCATTCTGAAGACCATGAAGGATTTTTGCCACACTCTGGACCAAGGGTTCCATCGCAGTTGTCCATGACACGCTCCCACTTCTGACTGGGGGTGTCGAGTCGGGATGCAGTTTACGTTCGGTGACTAAAGGCAAAGCAATCGAGGAAGCACAAAAAGGGTAACCCGCCGCGCCGCTTTCGGCCATGCAGATCTATGGGCGCAGCCACATGCAGGTTCTGTTGGTTTACAATTGTGCGAAACTTGAGGTGTTGGCCAAGTTTCTGTGTTACCAGGGAAGTAAGTGACACAGCAGTTATGATTAGAATCCCACTCTGTTATTACAGAACTACGTGTTGGGTCCTTTTTTTTAAAAGAAAGATATGTGTGCGTGTCTTTTGCGGAGGGTGCCATATGTTGGGTTGGTTTCAAGTGAAACAAACGAGAAACCACTGGTGTTGAGGGTACTCCTGCCCAAACAACCATTTCCTATGAAGAGGCCTGCTTGATGACCCATGATAGTTTAGAAACTTGCAGGGCCCAATGCACTCGCAGGCTCTTCGCCCTCCCCGCGAGCCCGCAGCTACTCGGGCCCTGTCTTGCCTGCCTTGGGCACGACTGGATGTGGTGCCCTACCGCCGGCGACGGCCAGTGCGCTCTCAGGCGGAGATGCTTGGAGCCAAATCAGGGCTAATGTTGACCCCATATTAATCAACCGCAGTTGGTTGATAGGGAAATGTTCCCCTCCAAAAGCGATGATGCCCCTCCAAAAGTGATGATCCTCACTAAACCCGGGAACACCCCCTATTATTAATAAACTGGGGTTGATTAATCTGGGGTCAACATTTCCCTTTCAAGGAGGGGTTGTGCAATGTTTGGTGATGAGAGGGTAGGGGATGGGTAGGGGATGAGCAGGGTGCATCCACAACCACTTGAACAAACACTGTCCGCTCTGCGATTTCTTCCATGCTTTGCGAAGATTCCCTTGACATGGGGTCTTGCTATGCACAGTTCAAGACTGGCAGGTGTTTGCAGGAGGGTCCCAAGAAAAGGGGTAAATGGATTACGCATGACCAGGCCCTCTCAGGAAATTGACTGCATGCGTAGAGTTGCGCGTGGCTCTAGCGCAAACTGCAACAAATGGGGCACTTGGCATGTTGAAAGGTTCAGTCCATTTAAAGCTCCAATATTGCCCGAAAGGTTACGCTTCTGCCATGGAGCAAACTTTGCCCCGCAGCTTGCCATGTAGGTTTGGACAGCTTACTGGAAGACCAGACTGTGAGGCATCATTGCCAGATGCATGCGCACATGCACTGACTCGTGCACACGCCCAACACATGCCTGGGCGCAAGCACACAGAAGTTGTATCGCGCCGATTCTTGCCAACCTGTTTTCTGAAACGGCGGCCGACTTCTGCGTCTCAGCGTAAGCCCTGCATGTAAATCAGCTGCCCAGTTGGGTGTGGCCGACTTCCCCGACCATGCTGAAGTGACTGTCAGACTGTCAGCCGATAGGATTCACCAGAGCCAACCGAGGATCCGTTTTTTGGGAACCCTCGCCCTTTGAAGACGTCCCGACTGTGGCCCCGACGTTGACAAGCATTGGATTTGCCAACAATAAAGAAAATCTGGGTTTACAAAGTCCTTTGAATATTCCGTCAAACAGAGCATCCGGCAGGGCGCCGTACCCATGATGCAGGTGTGTTGCTTGTCAATTCCTTGCTTCAGGTGTGTGAATTTAGCAACTGGCCATGGAATTATCAAGTCGCTGGCATTTATGATAATGCAAAGCAGGGTTAGAGGGAAGTGGCCAATCAATTGAATAGGAATGCTTGTTGGGATCACCTGGCAAATAAGCGATTCATCACCTCATGTTGCACAGCTGGCCCAACAGTTGTGAGGCGCGACCCTCATGTTTTGCCGTTGTGCAAGCCGTGGCAATCGGTTTTATGCAATGCTCGCCAGGTTTGCTCCTACCTTTGCGTGGCCTTTTGCTGCTGGGCCGCATCAGATCAGTAACTCAGGGAGAATAAAAGAGGAAGTGGGGAAGAAGGAACGTTTTTAGGACGTTGCGGAGGATGTGTAAACAAGGCCAAAGAACTAAGGCTCCTTTGTCTCCGCTTGAGAAACCCTGCATCTTCTAGACCTACCTACAAAACTTCTGTACCTACCTGCTAAAGTTATGGCAACTAAGGGACCCCTGATGGATAGAGTAAAAGTTTCAACAATGAGAGCCGCTCGTTGCAACTAGACCTTGAGAACGCCTGTCTTCGTGCGCCCCGCATCAGGCCCTCTGAATCTTCGAAACCTGCCTACTAAAGTCATGGTAAACCAACCAACCAACTAACCAACCAACCAACCACTCTATCAACCAACCAATCAACCTGCCTACCCTCCTACCTACCTACGTAGTCACCGAATCACACACCACTCACCTACCAAAGTCATTGTGCCCCAGGCGCCTGGGCCCAGCGCTCCTGGCACCTGGCCTCGGCGCTCCGGGCGCGTCGCCCTCCCTGCGCGGCGCTGCGCGGCCGGGCTCCGCCACACTGCTGCCGGGGATGCTGCGAGCACCTGGGCCGGGGTAATTAGCCCCAAGAGGGAGGGGCAGAGGTGTTTTTTTTTTGGTTTAATCTCTTTGCTGCCCTTTTAGAGTGTTTGGTCACTTTTGTTGAAGCAAAGACATAGTATGAGCGTTGCCAGCGGAACACGGGATCTTGTATAATTATTTGTATACATACTTCTATGCCCGTGCGAACGAAGCTTTGGGAGTTCAGAGCGAATACTTGGTGCCGAACATTGTTGGGCCTTTTTCCCCATCTGGCAGCGCAAGGGAAACCAGAAGGTCAGGTGCATAGATTCCTCATCCCCACTGAAGACCGTCCATTGTCATCCAGCTCCCGAAAGTGGGCGTATCACAAAAATAGGAGGATCCCTCGGCGGCAGGTCTTTGTGTGGCTCTTCAAAGACCATCCAAAGTCGGATTCGTTCTTCAAACACATCATTAGGGGCTCCTAAAATGGGTAACTTCTGTCCTATTTTTTTTTAATATTATCAAAGACAGGGGATGTGTCAAATATGATTTGCTTCCTCGCTGTCTGCTTCGGCACCATCCAAGATAGGCATTTGAAACAGCTGTTCATCAGGAAGCAACACTTCCTGCAAGTGTTGACCATGTCCTACTCAGCCGGTGAGGAAGTGGATTGAGCTCGGGGACGCTCCTTGAGTGATTAATCCATTTCTGTGCATTGAGCGATGAGGTCCTGCTGAGTGAGAGCAAGTCTCATCTTCCCGAGGCCCAAACTAACCTGCTGGGACGACAAAGCGGTTCAAAAAAAGTCGCGATTTGAAAATGAACCCGGTTGTATCCCCAACATCAGCCGCAGGAACCCTTCGGGAACCCGAGAACGCGGTGACTTTGAACCACTATGAACCCCTCCAGAACCTGCTCGGCAAACCCCTTCAAAAACCTTTTAGAAACCACCCTCAGAGCTGCTCCGGACCACTTCGCAGCTAGTCCGCAGAGACCCCATAGCTTTCAGCTGTTGGGGCAAAACATCTCGGAGTCCTGCTCTTCTGCTTGTTGTGCCAACGCTTTGACCTCAATCAATCAGGCCGTTAGTCTTCAGTCAAAGATGCTGACAATAAAGCCGCCGCAATCAAAGCTATGTCACTGCACTCAAGCCACATAATGAGGTCTGCCGATTGTTCTCCTGTGTCAAAGGATCCTTGTTCTGCTGAGGAAACCCTGACATTCCAGCAGCGCCCTCCATACTGCCGCTAGATTCCCATGAGCTGGACATGCTTTCCTTTGCTTTTCACCTGCAACCACCATTCCCTGCAAGAAAAAAGAGACAGATTCCTTTGGCGCGCCTGCTGAGGTGGGGCTCATTTTCTCGCTGCTGGTCACAGATGTCGCAACGCCAGGCCTCGAGTCAGAGAAAGCTGGGCCGGATTCGTTTTGTCAGAGAAGCGCACTCCACACATCTTGGGCCTAATGTTTTGTCTGCTTCAGGGGATTGGCTCATTGTTCACTGCCCGAGTTCCTGATTTGGAAGACTTTTTTAGTGGTAAACAAAAAGGCTCGGACTCTTTTGGGACAACACACTAAGGATGTGAGGGTCTGTTGAAGCTGCTATAGTAGTAGGTGTCCATTCGCAACACCCAGACTGTCAACGACAAGCCGGCAACCTACTATAGATTGCATCGCAATGCTGAGATGGTGTCACCGAATTTTGAGTCTGGAAAGTTGAAACCCTTCGCGTGGATGCGCAACACATGCGAGCTGGGTCCTTCAGCTCGCTCCCTGGGTTCCTTGACTTCATACTGGGAAGCGCCTTTTCTGGGATTTTTCCTCCGACAGCTGAAAGCCCAGTTCTGGAGTGGTTCGGAGAGGGTGTGGGCTCGGATTCTGGAAGGGTCCCGCAAGGGTTTGCTCTGAGGGAACATCTAAGCTTTATGTTTGGGCCAGACCCCTGAGTGGCTATGAGTCAAGGAATGCAAGAGATTTCTTGGGAATGTGCAGGCGCACCGTTGGCCCTCCGAAGCTTTGTCTATGCTGGCTTCACTGCCTTGGTGCCGGACCTTGCCGCTGCTGGCTTGTTGCAGCGTGGCTTGAAACGCTGCCCAGAGGGCGGAGATGGGGCAATGACTGAAGGCAGCGGCTTGGAAAGTGTAGAGGTGGAAGATAGAAAAATGTGTTTGAAAGGAGGATCCACACCCGAATTGCTGTTGTCATACAAGTGCTGTTCCCACAAAACATACTGCAAGGAGCATACCCACCTGCTAACAACTGGCTCCATGATGGCTTGCTCTTCAGTTCGCAAAAAAAGCGGCCCATTTCGGAGATGCCTTGTCTTGAGCCACAGCCGCAGGCATCAATTGAGGGCACGGTTGCACCTTTTTGCTTGCGACGCCTTTCGCAACCCGGGGAATTTTCTGATTTTGACACACTTTCAGTCAAGACTGGACTATACTGCAAACTGTGTCAACAATGCCAGGGGCACAAGCAAAACTGACCTTGGCAAAGTCTGCTCCGCTTTCGTCCATGCACTGAAAACCGGCTTGTTTTGCGATTGGTTTCAAAGGAACATGGTCGTGAACAAGTTCCTGCTTCGGTGGCGCCAAAACGCTTTCCCAAATTAAACATCAAGAGCCAAAACAAAAGCGATTTGCTCCCATGGACATCCTTTCAGATTTTGGGGTGACAACCGCCGAGGCCGCCTTTGCAATCCTTCACTCACCTCGGCTCCTTGATGGCTCTCGTGTCCTCTGGGCGGTTGGGGCCCTTGGCGCCAGCGGCAGACCTTGCACTTCTGGGGCTCGCGCCCTCCGCACGAGGCGGCTTGGCTGCATGGAGTTGGGGCGGGACGTGGTTTCGGCAAGTCTTCGTGGAAACTCAACCTCCCACACCGGCCGGGTTCAATTGGTTTGATTATCATCCTTCAATAGCTGTTTAACCACCATTGCCGGGCTGCGAAGATTTGCGTAGCTCGTTCTGGGTGAAGCAAGCGGCAACTCCCGGCCCATTGTTTGGTTCACTTGAAGCAACTGGCGCTGTTGTTTTCCGTACGACACAGCCTGACTGCCCAATACCAAAAGTGAGAGCAGAAAAGCACGAGAACTCTCGTGGCAAATGGACACTGCTCGGACAATTTGTAGGCCCTAAACCAGGCCAACAGACATCACATGAGCGACTAGCGGAAGACCAATATGTAAAGGGCTCGACATGACATACCGACATGTGCTGTAGAACGTGCAAATGCCTTGTCAGGAAATGAGCGGCTGCCAAAGAGTACATGCTAGTTCTCAGCTTTTTCTGAAAGGCTGCGCCTTCCAACCCGGATCTGCCAATGTGTACGTCCTTTACTACCCTTGTACTCGAAAGTTGTGACTTTCGATCGGAGCTGCCCATGCACAAAAGCCTCAGGAACGATGGGGTTACAAAAAGAGATACAACATCGCTCCCCGATGTCCTTGTCCTCTACAAGAGGTTCGCCAGTTCTCACATGGGTAGGATTAGCCCTTCAGTTGGCAAACGCCCATTGTCCTGTTCATTGGTTTGAGCACCACTTAGCAAAGGATCAAGTTGTGATGTATTTCCAACTACGGTGGAAGTGGGCAGAGGCCTGTTCAAGAAGTTTGTACTCTGCCAAACCCGTCTTCCAGCTTCCATGATTACTTGCAGAGGGTAATCATACGACCTCCAACGCCCTCCTTCCCACCTCCATATTTGTTCTTGGGAAGAGATTGAGTTGTTCCGATGTGTTCCGCTTAGTCGGCTCAGCAGGTCATTTGTGTTCATTTTGAAGCCGTTGTTTTGCATCCTTGTTCAACATCAGGGGTTTCACTACGGATTATGCTGCAGGATTTGGGATCCACCATTTTTGAGCAGTCCACTGGCCAATGAATTGTGCAAGTCCAGAGCCTTGTGCGGCGAAAGTGCACCTCTTGCTTGGATCCTCTAGTAACTTAGGTCCTCAAATCCTATCTGCTTGGGTATATTCCGAAATGACTCAGTTGGTATTGTGGGTATGGGCAAAGGTGGACTCAGCAGATTGTTGTGTTCCTGTTGTTTGTCCTCTCAAGAAATCTTGAACAATGTACCCTCTAAATGACACACTCACCCGAGTTTGCATTGCTCACCAATTCCCAGCTGGGCTTCAGATGCTGAGGCTCTTTGCGGCCAGGACCGAAGCCGAACTCTGACGACGTTTTGAGGCAGTGATACGGGATCTGTTTTTGGAGGTAATTGTCTTTGGGGTTGCTTGAAAGGGAAACCAAAAAAAGGGAACACCCTTTTTGGGGTTCTCCCCCAATTTGAGACTTGAAGTAATGTGCGGGTCAAACGTGTATGGTTTTGTTTGGGAGCCCCCTTTTGGTAGCCATTGGGAAGCCTTAAAAGGCATAAACCACGCTAGTAATTGTGGGACAAACCCAGAATGAAGCTTTCAGCTGTTGCAACAATTGCAAGACGTTTTCAGAAGCATCGTTTTCGAAGGCTAGCCCTTCTGTAGCTTCCGACACTCTTGGACAGACGGCAACTTGTCAGTTCCGAGCTGTGCTGGAGCTGAGATGGTTAGTTAAGCCAATCTGCCGTGAGCCTATTTTTGATGGCATTGGAAGGTCATGACCCTTGGAGTAGTGTTCAAAGAGAAACCAAAACGACCCCAAAGAGCCAAGAGAAATCATCCGCTGGATCGCCAGGCATGTAAGCTCCAGCACTGGTTCCTCTCATGGAATTACTCCCAGACACGAGGGCCTTGTGTCATAGTCAAAGGCCCTGAAAGCAAGCATGTTCGAGGACCCCCCCCCCCCCGCAAAAGCAGTCAGGGTCCTGAGGTTGATAACTATCCTGCAAGGGGGTCTACATTTTGGCCTGCAGCTTTTGAAGCTTGATCGCGTTGGGGGGGTCCATTTCGTTGCTTGCAGACTGGCCTGAAAGGACACCTATGGGCGCCACGTTTGCCCCCCCTGCTACGGGGCCTAAATGATTAGAGAGGAGCCGTGAGATACTTTAAAATATTTTGGTCTGTTCATATTAGTCATGATTTTAACGCGTCACACTACCACCCAGTGTTCCCCCTTTTGCTACCAGAGTTTTTTTCACTAAAACGGAATATAATCAACTAACAAAGAAACACGATGGCGCCAATTCCTTGTTGGCGTTCGCGTCACCAAGAACCCCCGGCAGGACCCTCACCTTTGGTGCCGTCCGCCGGCACTCCGGGCGCGTCATCTTCGCCTCGAAGCCCGGCGCACCCCGGCGCCGCATCGCCGGCAGGCGGGCGTGAGACGGCGCAGCGGCGGGGCCCTTTACTCGCTGGCGCTCAGTAGGGAGTGAGGGAATGAACCTGGGGTTTCCCTCAAAGCAATCCAGAAGGGATGGTTTATAAGGGGTCATTCCCTCATTCCCCGCTGTTTTTTGGGGTGATTCCAAAGCCGTCCCACTGGCCCGGCGGTGTCCTGTGACAAACAACAATTGCTGAAACAAAGAAGCTGACAGGGGCACACTCACTAAAGTACTATGAGGAAATGATGTAATGGCTTTGGAAGCGCAATCAGTGTCGGCCTGGGTCATGTCACGTGCTCGGATCAAGACACCTGGTTTCCAGAAACCCTCGTTGAGGCAGTCATGCGCTCGATTATTAGGATGTCATGCAATCACGAGGAATTCTGTCAAAGGCAGCATGGCCATACCCCATACGCAGAGATGATCAGACGTTTGACCACCGCACATGTGCTTCGTGCTTTACTTGGGGTTGGTAGGGCTGGTCATGGACCCTTAAGTAGGGAGTTTTGTCAACCGCTGCAAGGCTTTGTATGGTCGCATGCCCATGGCCCCTTTTGATGATTTGACCGCTCAGCCCATGGCCAGGCGGGACGTCCGCGCCTGAGTTGAGTTCTGCCATTGAAGTCCGGAAGTGTGAGGTGTCGCCATTTTCAGGATATGATGAAATGGACTTGTAAAGGTGCAGTTGCCTCTTAGAATGTACAACGTTGTACAGCTTGCCCCAAGACCAGGTTGTTCGAAGGGGGCTCCCTCATCCCACTACAACAGGGCAAACCACTAGCTTCCAGTTTGGTGCGCTACTTTGGTTTGCAGCTGAGCAGACAATCCAACGAGAGGTCCACACAAGCTAGCCTTCATTCAACAAGCACGGCCATTGCCAGCAAGTTTGCTTTTCCTGACAAAGAGAAAAACAAAAAGAAGCAACATGCACACAAGGCAAACGGTCAAACCCCACACAAAAGGTCCAAAAACGGTTTGCAATTTGAGCCCTGGAAGGCGGGATAGTTGAGGTGCATGCCTGGCGCGCCGCTTCTTGCCTTGGGTTCGGCGGCTGTGGGGTCCTCCACAGCCCTGCGGAACTTTGCACGTGCGGGACGCTCGCCTTCAGACCCGGCCCCTTTGAAGTGAGAGAAGGATTCGATTCCTTGAAAATATGTTAAAGAAGCCGGGGGTTGAGTGCTCGAACGCCTGGTGTTTGACAAAATCCACGGCATGGCTTGAAACTTGAATTGCAGAACAGCGATCAAAATGGTTGGTGCACACAAATCCCCCTCAAGTTCATACCTGTGTCACCTTTCCGTGCGCTTTCTGCCACTGGGCCTTGGCTTCCGCCGTTTTGATGAAAGGGGGTGACCATGGCCAGATACAAGCAAGAGATCACGCGGTTCAGAGAGGGAGCCATCTAATCCTGTCAAAGCATACCCCATTCAGGTACGTGGGGTACCCTTCAGGACCGCTGGGAGAAGTTTGGCGGAAGCTGGCCAAAAGGCAGCCCATCGGTGAAGGTACCATCCGCCCTGTTGCATGGACCTGGGCAAATGATGCTGAACCTCAGAAAGGGATTTGGTTTGTGACTTCTGGCCACTCTTTCTCCCATGTCGGCAACATATTATTAATGCAACTCAGATGAAAGCTCCCCAGGTCCAAGGTATTTGTTCCCCAGCGTGGCTGTTCAGCCTCGGGCGAACTAATTACTTGCTGGTCTGAACGGCTTGTTGGTGTTGGAGCTGAGGATTTGCACCAGCAGCCTTGGCATTCTTGCAGCTGGGCCAGCTGGGCTGCATTCAGTCAGGCAGCGCAAGTTAGGCCCGAACTGTAGAAGGGAGCTGTGCGCCACTAGTAGTCAAATTCCCTGCTGATCATCGGGCAGTAATGTTTGTAAGCGTCTTGGGTACTGTACGTTAAACCCAAGTTAATGTGTCTGTGTGTGTGTGATTAGTTTAGTCCCTTTTTCCAGACAGGCAAGCCACGGACACAGGAGATAGTCCCTTCTTGCATTGTCTACGTACAAGTGGGTTTGTGAATTACCAGCTGGTTGTGCTGTAGATACATGTGGCTGAGTGTTTGCACTCTTCTGAAGAACTTCAGACTGAACAGTTGCCTCATATTCCTACAATGAGGGAGTGCTCTAGGATTATTCGCCAATTTGTCAATGTCTGAGACTGCCATGCTGCTTCTTTGGCAGCAGACGCTGCTTTTTGACATGACTGAGCTGCGCAACGACCACTTCAGCAGCTCAGCACTCAATGTTGAAGTCTAAGACACTAGCAGCACGAAGTTCTGCAGGAAAATTTGCTCAAAAGCACTGTTTCTGATATTTCTGCAGAAGCTCCTGTAGCTGGTTTCCGTCAGACAGAAACCCATTTGGATGGGCCTTTGCTCGTTTGGGGGTTGTTTGCAAGAGAAGCGAAGATTAAGGGGGAATCGCCCCTTCCGGAGGCTTCCCGTCTTTCAAATTATGGTAAGGCGAATACAAACCTGAATAGTCAACCATCTTAGTGGAACCAAATGTCTGTTTTGGGTTTCGCACGCCGCTTTGAGGCTACCTCCAAAGATGTGTTTGTTCATTTTGATTTCCCTTCATATAAGCCAAGGCCAAAACGGGTACAAACTCAAAAACACAAGCACGCCCCACTAAACGACCAACAAAAAGAAAACACGGTCCTACCAGAGTCACTGCGAATCTGGGTTTTGCAACCTGAGCAACGCACAAGTTCCCATTGGTCGTTTAACAGGTGGTTCTGATTCGTTCAATTAGGATCATAACAAGGCCAATGTTCAGCTTAATAACTTAACCATTTTGGTAGAACCAAGAGTCAGTTCGGATTTACCTGAAAAAAATATGTTTGTATCTAGTTTGGCTTTAGTACATGAGCCAGCTGAAAGAGGGTACCGACTTCTAAAACACAAGCGTACCAGCTTTCAAACACGAACACACCCCACTAAAGTGAATTCAAAGCGCCAAACAACCAGGGAAACTGGGTTCTGCAACCTGAGCAAAGCCCAACAGTTCCCATTGTTCATTTCAGTAGGTGGTTCTACGTGGCGCAATCGGGAATCTAGCAAGGACACCTTTTTCATCGTGGTAGTCAGTTGAAACAGGGTATATAGTTTGGCGCCAATACAAACCGAAGCTATCAGCATTTGGGTGCGGTTCAAACTTAAACTGCTAGGGTGACGCAGCTTTTAGGTGCCATTTTGGCACATGTGTTTCCAGTAAAGCCATTGCCATTTGTTGGATGTTGGATTAACCAGCCACGCCGATATACACCTACGCATTTGTTGGATGTTGATTAAAACCAACGCCACCGTCTGGGCACCGCTGAGGTTCCTTGGCGTTGCCCCAGAGCCTCGCCCGCCCGGAGCCGCCGTTTCCGGCGCTGGGCCGGGCGCGGCCGGGCGCCGCCTCGCCCGCTGTGGGCCTTGCACACCCGGAGCCGCCGCTGCTGGCGGGGCCTGGGGAGAACTGTCCAGGGAGAGCGGGAGACTGTGGTTTTCAGTGGGCCCAGTGGGGTGCATAGGAGTTCACTAGCGGGCTGTGGGCACAAAAATGCTTTTGTGAACAGGAGCAGTGTTAGAGGCAAGGGAACCACAAACATGATATACTCTCAGTGTTTGTCTCATGCGGTACTTTGGTTTGATAGTCACCAACAACCCCATTCTAATGATTTAGTCCCTCTTAGTCCCATGAGGCTCGGTGCTTTGCATCACCAAATTGAAACATGAATTATAATGACGCAACACGCAAGCAATTATTTGCACCCTCGGGTTACATAGATGAAATGCAGCTTATGTGGGTCTCACAACGTATGAACACATGTTTTTGTTTGTTAGAATATGTAGATATATGTATTCTGCAACACTCCCACAAGCAAGCTGCTTGCATGAGAGTGCAGAAGTGAGTGGCAAAGTGCAGGCAGGATACCCTTTGTGTGGTGTGTCCAAACTACAGATTTGCTGTTGAAAGTTCTTTCAGTTCAGAGGGCTACAATGCGTTCAGGACCGCTCTGAATCAGAGAAACTCCCAGTGGTCGGAGCTGTCATCAAATAATTTGCTCGTGCATTAAGACATGTCCTCTAGCATTTTTGGAGGTGGACTATGTTTCAGTAACCACCCCTTGGGCAGTGTGCAGTAGACATGTTCCAGGCTAAGCAGCAAACATGTTTTTTTCCCAGATACTTAGTTCTAAGTTCTAAAGTATTATGTTTGATTTGAAGACAGTTCTGCAAGATTGCAAAGGACTGCTGCCAAATGCATTCTGAAAACTTGAGAAGGCCTGCAACATTGCCAATCATGCTTTGCTGGGATGTTTAGTTTCAGCATGCAAGATTCCCCAGTTGGAATTTTACTCCTGGGCGTTGCAAGTCTGAGATTAGCAACCAACTCTAGCTGACATGCTGTGTTGCTTTGGCTTCGTTCCCTGCGCTGACCTAATTAGCATCTAGACATCCTGCTGCGTTCTCCGCTTCTCATATCGCATGGTCAATATCCGAGCTCATGGCAATTTATGAGTAATATTATTATGCGTGATATGATACACCATGTGTATATGCATAAATACACATGTGTTTCTTTGGGTGTTGGACTCAATGATGGAGAAATAGCTTGAGTTTCGGGGGCCAAATGGCAGCTTTGTGATGGCCATGGCTTTTCACCATGTCAAGTGCTCAGAGCAGCGCTGTTCAAGCCTTTTGCTTTTTCCTGGCCGGTCAATGGTTGTTGCGACTTGGAACTTGGTTTGTGGAAGAGTGGGTTAAGCTTGCCAATTTATGAGTGACCAAGGGAACAAAGGCGAAGGGCGTATGAAAACCCCACTTTGGTGGTATCACACAGCAAGGGTGCCCAGACAGGGGTTAGGCTCATCATTCGCTCCAGAGGATGGTGTTTGGTCGGGGGTTTTCTTGGAAGCCAGCTACATAAACATCTATAGGGGTTGGGCTAACTTCCCGTAGCATTCCCTGTAGCTGGGTGCTTAGATTGAGGATACCCTCCCCTTTTTGGAAGGTTTAAAGGGAAACCAACAAAACAGAAACCAAAGGGAAACCAACAGAAAACCAAGGGTTCTCTCAAACCATGCTGTTGTTTAAACGGCCTCCGTTTGGTTTCCAATTAAGGGGAGTGGGGGCTGGTTGTTTAAACTACACTTGGCCAACCCTGCGCAATGACGAATAAAAAGTTGATGTCCCAACAAAGGACACAGCGAAATGGCTTCTTGACAGTTGGAGACACGGAAGCTTCTCGTTTTCCTTGGGCTCGACTTCCGAGCGGCCCAGCTCCACGGATCTGCTCGCGCGGGATCGGTGCCTTTCGCCTCGGACTCTGCGCAGCGCCTTTGGCCGGTGGAGGGGCCGGTTCTTGGGGAAAGGCACGACACCTGTAGACCATCCCTTGTGGCTTTGTGAATCTTCAGGTTCATTTCGAAAACATCAAGTGATTCCCTGAGAACCAGCAAGAATTTGGGAGGGGTTCCACGTTCCGAGAGGGTTTCTCAAAATGCGGGGGGTTCCATGATTTGCAAAAATGACGCCTTGAATGGATACCCAAGGGGATGTATAGGTGTGACGTGCCCCCAGGACACATAAGGGGAAATCGAAATTGCGGATGGATAGGATGTTTTTCCCCAAAGTGAATAATTGGAACGTTGAGGCTGCTGCCCGTCAAAGGTCAGCTGGATTATTTTGTTGCACGTCTTGTTTCTTGGGTCAAACAGCCATAACTTCCACGTGGGGATCACATCTAACCAACACAATTGGACATAAGTCCGGTTTTGCCCAAGTGGGTCCGGTTTTTGTGGGAAGGCTGTTGCACGTGAGCCTGGCTTGGGCAAACGTGTAACTGGAACCATCTGGAGTCACTGTCCTAAACCCCGTGCGGACGTTCGGCAAAATAAAGGGGTGGTCTTGTTGCATACTCGCACTGATTAATTCGGCCATTCACTGTACCTGGTCAGGCCCCTGTTTTGCCTGCCTGGGAACCTTTGGCCAAGAAATGGCAGTTGTGTCCAGATATACCGAACCAAACCTACAATGGGTGGTTTTCAAAAACGAGCGGGTGGGTCCCAGAGGTTGGTGCACGCGGCTGAGAGGAGAGACCCAACATCACTTGGCTCCCGATTGGTTTTGGGCCTTGGGTCCTCAGACGAGGTGTCAGTGTCCATGGGTCCAGGTCCATGGGAGTGAGCCTTGCAACTGAGGACCGGTTTTCCTTTGTCCGCTCGTGGCATGGTCCGGAGTGGTGGGGACCTCTACACCAGCCTGGCCCTCGATGGGAGGGTGCCAGAAAGGGGCCCCTGAAAAATGGTGATTTTCCTGTTGGCTTGCTGCAAAGCCGAGCTGAAGGGCTACAAACCCAAATGAAGTTTGGGAATGAATCCTCGCCAAAAACCAAAATGGGTGGGAGGAGGGGGCGGTTACCAAGATGGCATGTTATTGGGCGCACGCCGCCTGAATATGGGTTGTGGCTCAAAAGTGCGCGTGGGACCCAACCGCTTAGCCACGTTCGGGGAATTGCAGTGCTACACGTCTTCAATGGCTATCAATGTGGGTGATGTTTCTTCGAGGGTACCCTTTTGCGGGTTGTTTCAAAGGGAGACCAAGGGGAAATGACTCATTTTCAGGGTTCCCATATCATTTTGTTACAATGTGCTAAACTGGTTCTTTTTCTGGGGATCCCTAGCCCCCACTTGCCAGCAGGACATGTCCGAATCCACTGACCATGTGGTGCCAGTTCTCCATGAGCGCTTGGCTCCAAGAAAGTTGTCAGCGAGTTCACACGTGATCTGATACTTGGGGTGTCCCGAAAGATTCATGAGTCAACGATGTCCAACAGATTCGCCTTTCATTTTCAGGCCTCCCTTTGGGCAGTGATGGCTGGAGCAGACAGTTATCTTCAAGACGGTAGTGGTCCACCTATCTGAACCGATTTTGGCACATAGGGGGACCCCAATAGTGCTTCTCCTTGTGGTGTCCCTTTAAACCAACCCAAAAAGTCCCGCGAAAATTACACACTCCCGCCCAGTGTTTGGCTGACGTTGGACTCATAGAGACTTCACCCACAGCTCTACCATTTTCTGACAAGCCAAGGGAATCCCCAGAGCGATATGGTCATGAGGATGGGATCCGGCGCTGATTCCACTTGGTTCCTTTCCCGCGGGTCTAGGTGGAGCGCTCAGATTCACAGACACCACCTACCTGGACGCAGCCTCAGGGAACCTAGAGGCACGGGGAGGGCGCTTTGTTTTCTCCATTTTTTGGTGGGTCGGGGGGGTTGGTCCAAAAGAAACAAAAGAGGGCACCGTTTCTGTTTCTTTAGAATCCCGGCTGCTTGGAGCTTTCCTCACGCGCAAAGGCGGCATTTCAAAGAGCAGAAATCCAAATTTGGCAGCGCCCAAAAGCCCCGTTTGCCATTTCAGTGGGTGGTTCTACTACCCTGGTTTCAGGAAGGCTATAGTAAGGGCTATACAAACCGAACATCTTTTGGTAGCACCAAAAGTCAATGGGGGTCGAGCGCTGCGCAAATGGGATTGTTTTGTTGCAGAGAACCCCTGTCAGGCTGGCTTAAAGGGACACCAAAAGGAAACCACCCATTTTACTCTGGTCTAGGAGGAAGGGCTGAATCAAAGGTCATTGCCATAGCATTGCCTTGAAACTGGCACTTGACCAATGGTTTGGATATAAAGCTGCTTTGCACGGCGCTTGGGCGTGCCTTCGTTGCTGGGTAAGCTGGAGGGGGAGACTTCCGTTTTGCGGGTTCCCTACGACTGACGTTCGGCAGGCCTACGTGTCCAGCGCCCGGCGGCTTTCGCTCACCAGCGAAGGAGGCCGGCTGTGGCCAGACGGAGTTCTCAGGGGGAATCACAAGGGTGTTGGGAATGAATCTACGGATCAATGGAAATCACTATTTTTTCTCTTGGGGGGGGGGCGGGGTAGTGAGAGTTTGTTTTGCGGACATTTGCTTCTCTCAGGTTGTTGAATTGCCGTTATGCAATGATGGCTCCTGTATATATGATGTTATGCAATGTTGCTGTTGTGTTGTGCTATTTTCTTATCTCTGGTATCTCGTTAAATATTATGGGGTATCATTATTATTATTCACTCAGGGTCATGATCACTTTGGATGTTCACGAGGAAGACTACTGTACTCATCAGAGGAATTGTCTGAAATTGGCAACATCCAAAAAATAGAACCACACCCCACTGCAGCGGCTTTGACGGCCGGCTCTTCGCGTGCGAACTGGGTGGACTGACTGTCTGAAATAGATCGAATCCCACAATCTCTGACTGGATACAAGGGTTTGTCGTAAAATGGTGGACCCCGCAGTAGACCAGAAACAGGGAAACCAAAGGGAAGCCAGACACTTTAGAGGACACACCCACAACGAAGTATTGCACCTTTATTGACATCAGTATATGCCCAAGGATTAGCCTCACGACCAAACCACAGTGGTAGACAATTTGTACGCTGAGTCATGCTGGTTTCCAGAAGCCGACTTACCCTTCGACAAGGGTGTGTGGAACCCTGACGTGTGAGAGCCCAGCAGGGCTGATGAGGAAGCCAGCCTCATATTCCTACAGCTTTGCTCCAATGCTTTTTCTCCTGGTTGATAGTAACCGCCCTCCTCGAGAGATAGGAATCGACAAGAGGCAGCATGTGATGCGCGTGTAGCTTTTCTGGAGGGTGTGACAAAGGACTCTCCGAGGAAACTGTTCTGGTGTGGTGGTCTCTATTCGGCAACGCACCTACATTACACAAATGCCCAGGAGTTTTTGAAACAAGCGAATTGGCTAAGCCCCCATCTCCAGACGGCAAGCACGGCATTTGGACCGCAGCACATGAGCCAGTGGCAGCACTCGCACACTCGCAGTTGCATCCATGCCTAGAATCTCCCCACAAATCCAACCAACACTCGGATATGCAAGGCGCTTCCTAACGCAGAGAGCCCTTTGGCCCCCAAATCAACCCACTGAATCACGACCTGCCAAATGCCGCCTGAACCCCAGGCTTCAAATCACCAGCCAGGTTTCTCAAATCCCTTCTAATTAAGAACCTCTAAGAAGGTTCTTAGGACCCTTCCAGAGGGTTCGGGAAGGACTTAGGTTTCATCCCAATAGAGCACACCAGGCACTCTGCACGGACTGTGGTCAGCTGACACGGCGCGGGGCCCGGACGGCCTCGGACCAAATGGGGATGTCTTTTGGACCCAGCACAAGGCTTCGGCTTCCCTTTGCCTTCCTTTTTGCAACAACCCCCACTCTTACGAATGCTCGCCAAACCCTTCTGGACATCTAAAGACGGGACCAACCCGAAACCCGGGTCCAAAAGGGGCCCCTTCTTTACATCCCCACAAATACTCATGCAATGTGACAGAATTGCGCCATTGTGTTCCCATGCTCCTGCCATGCCTTGGATGCTTCTCGGCTCATTCCTGCTTTCCTTGTTGGCTGTAGTGATGCAACCATGTACTTGCACGCTTCTCAGCATGTGCCACGGCGCATTGAAGGAGCGGAAGGCTTGCACTCGCACAGGTCGTGTCCCTCTCGGACCGACGCCTCAAGCAGAACATCCAGCCCTTGGTCGGAGCCCTGCCTGAGGCGATCCTGGCAGCGGCTTTTGTAGCAGTTCCATTGTCAGGTGGCTTCAAGAGAAATCTGAAGGAAACCCCTCCATTTTGGGGGCCGAAACTATGTTGACAGATGTCCTTTGGGGGAAACCGTCCAAGCCGACACCACGGCATATCGAAATGGCCTGGCAGATTCGGAGTTCAGAAAGCGGATGGAAACCGCCCGCAGAGCCTTGTCCCTGAGACACAGCCGAGCGGCCCAGTGTGGAAGGAAATCAAATTGGAGCCCTTTTTTGGGAAGGACTCTCCAACGAAGCTACTTGATGTGCTATGGATTGGTTTACTCGCATACCTTGAAATGAAAAGTTTTGCCGTGAGAAACTGCCCTAACCATGCCCTTTTGATGTTCAGGTTTTCCGAGGAACAGGCATCCGGCAGTCAAAGGTTAGCTTCCAAAGAAACACACATGTCAGTAAGATGCCACATCTGGTATCCAACTGCTAATATGCACCCTTTCACATAGAATGAAGAATGGACCCGTATATAAGAGTCCTTCGCTGCCCCTGAAGCCTCGCCACACGAAAGCAAATGCCAGGTGTTCCATTCAGCGGACTCAACGTTGAACATTTTTAACTTTCCCTCGCGACCGTCGCAATTGCAGTCTTGAGTTGGCGTGAACGCGTCGCGATAAGTATGGCAGGCATGCCCGGGCGGTTTGACTGAATCCTTACACACCAACAAACGTCACATATCTCGAGCTCGTGCAGCCATTTTGAACTGGCCCAGGACACAATCCGTCCATTTACAGATCGGCAACAGCGAAGAGGTTCTTTGACACCTACAGAGTGATGTCCACAAACAAGTGCCACAAAGTGTCCAATGTTTCAATGCTTCCAACCATTCCAAGGTGTCACGTTCAAACATGTCAAGTTTCAGCCGCAATCCAGGTCCCCAACAGCTCAAACCGTTACCCCACCAAACCCACGCGCCACGTCACGACCGGCAAACGCGCGACAAACGTGCGCGCGCGCGCGTGCCTGCGTGTTTTCGCGTGATGGACGGCGCGCCGGAAGAGCACGACGAATCTGCCCGGGCGCTGGCGGCGGAGTGCGCCAAGCAATGGCCCACCATGTGGCATGGCTGGGTTGTGACCAAACCCTTTACAACAAATGGGTGATTGGCGTTGGGTCCTCGAGTTCGCTTGGGAGCTTGGAACCCAGAAGTTTGAAATGTGGAGGGCTTTGGTTGCACAAGCAAGCAGCTGATTTTGCAGATCACCTCATTTGAGATAGGAATGGCAAAGGCCAACAACACAGGTTCATTTGGGTTGGGTCCGGGAAAGAAATAAACCTGTGCTTTGGGGCGTTCTAATAGACCTCAAATGGATATGTGTGTTGGTGGACATCCGAGAATATCAGAGATATACGGGGGTTCTTGTATTAAACCCGCTACGTAGCCAAGTTGTCTCTTTTGGCTAGTCAGTGGATCAGTTTTTTCTTTTCGGATGTGAGTGGGCCACAGGTCAGCGTATTGTCAACAGGCCATCATGTTTTGGGGATATGTTTTTGGGTGTCTTTCTTCGGAGGACCCAGGCCGAGGACCCCTTCTGGTTGTTATAAACACAAATCAAAAGGAAACCAACCATTGTGGGGGTCCCTTCAATTCGAGACAGACTCATATTGGATTTGAGTTGGAGATGCAAAGGATTAGATGGGTGTGTGTATATTACATATACAGATGTGGTTTTGGGCTTTGTTGACAGTTCCACGAAAGGGAAAGACATGCCAGAGACACGCTGATATGTCCCATTTCACCAGCTGGGAAAGCATGATGAGCCACAAGGACAGGTCGTTCGGGAGAACCCGCTCGAAGAACACATTTGCAGAATTCGTTTGGCCGGATGCTAATGGGGCATGGCAGAAGCTTTGCGGCCAACATCCGGCTCAGGTTGGCCCGGAAGGCGCCGGCGGCTTCGTCTCCGGCGGCCAAAGCTCCCGCCGGGGACGGGGAGATGGCACCTGCCGCTGAGGCCACTCGGCGTGCTGCCTTCTGTTTGTGGAGGGGGTTGCAGGCGTCCACTTTGGGGACATTGAAACTTTACCTTTTGGGCTGGTTTAAAGTTTAAGATTGGTTTTCTGTTCGGGTGACGTTTGAATGAGGCGGGAAAGGAACCCTGGTTGCCCTTGAAAGTCGACCTACAGAAAAGGTGGTGGAATTTGTCAAGGGGCCGAAGCGGCACACAAACCATGCGCATATCTGCAACACATTGCAACACGGCTCCAACTGTATGTCCCTGTGTTGGTGGGTGAAGCACCACCTTTTTGATCAATGTTGATGGAGCTACCCTTTGTATTGTGATTTTGAAAGGGGACACATAAGGCATCATGTATTGGGATAGGGATCCAAGTTGCATTCCCATGCACTGCCCTGAAGATTAACATGGAACCAATAAAACCACAATTTCATACACAACTGGGTCAATATAGGCTTCTTTTTTGAATTTGTAGGAGTGGGAATTTGTGAGGAAGGGTGTCAAGGTGCGGATGTGCAGTGAAAAGCCCGGATCTATCTTTGGCAAAAGGGAGCCTATCATGTTGCATGTTGCGCTGCTTCGGCATATCTATCCAGACATCCTTTGCACGGCTGGGTTTTACTCTGCTATGCAGTGGATCCAGCTGCCACTATAGCAGGCAACCCGGATATGCACCTCTTGGTGTTTACATGGAGGTTTTCCCGCACAACCCACAAATCCTTGCCATCCTCAGGTTAATGAGGCGGATACGCACACCATCAAGGTGGACGTGCTGCGAACCCGCGGCAACCATCCCGCCTTTGGGCCCACCATGCGCGAAAGGCTCCGCAGCTTGCTGACGGAGTTCTGCCATAAGGAGCTGGCGCTGTGGGTTTTCCCAATTGGTCCAAGTACTTTGGGAATTTGGGAGGATCTACTTTGACACCTTCTCAACCCCGGTACATCCTCAAAAAGGTCTTTGGACCCTTTGTAAAAGAAAAAAAAACCTTTTCCAAGGAGCCCCAAACCAATCGGGAGCCTTTGGGTTGATGTTCTCAAGCCCAAGGAGCAGGTGCGATACATGCAGGGCCTTCATGAGGTGGCCGCGGTGTTCGCGTACATCGAAGCTGGGAATCAGGCGGCATCTTTTCTTTTACTTCTCTTGAAACCGGTTGGAACCCCGGGTTTGGGGTTCAATGACTCAACTGCTGGTATCAGTTTTCACCTGTGGCTTTTTACTCTTGGCGTGTCATTCGTGCCCAGGGCTTGCTGGTTTGCTTTTGTTTGTATTTTGTGGGGGGGGGGAACTTAAAAAAGAACAATACTGTGTTGCTCATTTACCAGGGGTTCGGAAGCTTGACTAAAATGGATGTGATGGAATACCAACCCCTACAAAATGAAATTGGGAAAGCGGGTGACCCCGAAAATTCCAGGGTAGACTAGAAACAATTCTCCCACGGTTTCTTGTCTGAGTAAGGAATCCGCCAGTGGCTTCGACGGCTCAGAAAAGTCGGAGGATGCCACTCTCGCGTGTTTCACCGCATTCGTGCGGACCTTCATGCCATGCTTTTATGATGGCGAGAGCTTCGTCATTCTGCACATCACTTTACTGTTCTTCCGTCAGCTTTTGCTCTATCACCTCCCACACTTGCACAATCAGCTGGAGGAGATGGGTGTTGCTCCGGTGGTCTATGCCACGCCTTGGTTTATCACTCTCTTTGCGCACAAGACGCCGCTGCATGTGGTGATGCGCCTGTGGCATGAGTACATCCGACGTGGAGATCCCACCTTTGTCCCCTTTCTGGCCGTGGCCACGATGGAGCTTGAAAAGCAAGCTTTTCTGGATGCAGAGGAGGATGACTTCAGAAATGCCGTGGATCGCACAAAGATCACTTCGCTGGAGAAGCTGCAAGCCGTTTGGAAAGCTGCAGAAAACCTATACACACGAACTCCCAAGTCGTTCACCTTCCGCATGTCCAAGGTACCGTAGTTCAAAAGCAGCACCCAGTGTTTTTGTTTTTTTCAAAATATGACCAAGGCTTTGTTGTTTTCCGCCACAACATGTTCATTGAGCTAAGATGTCCACGTCTGACTTGCAGCTCCTTTCAATAAGTGTGAATCACGTGTGCACGTGTTACATGAGTTTTTGATGCAAGTGACGAAGCCGTCTGCACCCCTTTTAGACTACAGCCGTGCAGCTTTGCAGGTATGAGCATAGACGCGTGTACCTGCACGGCTACTTGCATATATAAGTCGATATATATATATATATATATACACATGTTTGTCTACATGTCGTTCTGATTTCTTTGTTTCCCATTTTGACCAATTTTGTTTCCACAGCCCCTCGCCTGTCCATTCGTCCGTGTTCAGTTGCAGGTCCTGACGCAGGTGCGACAACAGCTCCAAGAAAAGACCAACACAAACTGGACCCAAAGCGTCTTGGCGCGCGCGGACCAGGTCGGGCCGGGGGGGGGGGGAGGGTTGAGGATATTTGTTCCTCCAACTTCTAGGTGTATGTTTGGTTGCCCTTTGAAGCCTACAAAAATAAGGGGCTTCAACCAATTTGACTGTGAGTTTAAATGATTGGAACAGCATCAACAATGGTGGGCATGGCGTGATTCGTGCCAACAGATCTGGGAAAATGAAATCGCAGCCTCAAACAACAGGTTTTGCTATGCGACCGGATTCACCCATGATGACAATTCCTTTCTGGAGGTCCATTCGGCCCATTCCACGCCTCACCGATACAAAGTCAGGTTTCTGCACGCAACTTGAGTTCCTAACACCTAAATGGATATGTGTGGCTTCACATGTAGCAATTTGCGAAACATTCCCAGACTTAGCCTTTGCTTGTTGTCCGTTTGCTTCCTTGTTCAACCGCAGGGGGAAAATTGATCTTTGTTGCAAGCGTCCTTCGGTTTGGCCCAGGCCCAAGCGAGGTTTCCACAACACGCTTAGCACTAGAAGGGGTCTTGTTTCTGCCTAGAAGGACGGAGGGTTGGTTTTTTGAACATGCACTGAGGGTGTGGTTTCACATTGAGTCGCTTTTCTATCTCCCCAAACAAAACAGTGTTTGTTCTTTTGGTTTTCAGCGAAAATGCTCAACCAAAGTGTACGACTGCAGTGTATGCTGAGGCTGTAGGCACGGGGCCATAAGCGTCCTTCGAAGCGCCAGGAGAGACGTTTGGCGCTCTTGGCTCGGGAGGCTGTGGCGCAGCACGCACGGGTCTCCAGCGAGGCCGAGCTCGACGCTTCGAATTGCCCCACGGGGGTGGGTGTGTAGCACAGAATTGTTAAAATTCCCTAGAAAACCGACACAGAATGGGACAATTGATGTTTTTCCGGACCCCCCAATAATTTAGCACCCAGGGTCTCTACATTTACTCTTTGGGAGGGATATCAGCATCTCCTCATTTGCCCATTTAAGCGGTGCTTCCCTTGGGGTGATGTTGCAAGGAATGTAGGTGGCCATGTACCAAGGGTCTGGTTCCCTAGTCCTCTACCGTCGTTACTGAACCATCGGTTGCAGACATTGCGGTTTTTGATGCACTGCGAACCAGGACTAATCAATAGCTATAAGGGGGGTGTCTCAGGTGGGGGGAGGGGAAACACCAGGTTGATGATTCCGAGATCAGCATTGCCTTTCCTTGCGTGATTGGAAGCCACCAAATAGCACTTTGAACAGGAAAGTCGACCCTTCGCATTTCGGGTCCTGGGAGCCTCGCCTGAGGGCATGTATATTGTGTTCGATCTTTTGCGCTGTAGGATTTTCCAGCTTAAATTGTGCAAAGTTTGGGTGGGAAGCAAACCGAATGGCCAACAAGCTGTTTGGTTTCAGCCAATTTCAGTCTATACTTTGAGTCGTGCGACGGAAAGGTCCTTTGGGCAAGTCTGGGCGAGGCTCAGTTCAGTTTGAAGTTTAAGGTCTGCCAAAGGCGTGCGATTGGTTTTGGGTCCTGAAAAAGGTCTGAGTCTTTGTGAGTGGTCGACCCTCAGAGAAAGGCGTTGGGTTTCCTCGTCGAGGTGGCGGCGGTGCCGGCGCCCAATCTGCCGCCGCTGCGGGTGCTGCTGCTGGACGTGCGGCCAAAGGCAGCCTTTGATGCGGAGCACCTGCCCCAGGCCCTGCACTTCTACCCTCCCTGCCTGCAGAGGCAGGTCGTGGCACGCGGGATGGGCTGAGAGTCTGAGGAGCCTGAAAGTGCCTGACAGCGACACATTTGGCAGAATTGCATTTGTTGATTTTAAGTTTGTATTGGAGGCAGAGAGGGTGTTGCAAAAGCATTTGCTGACGGCCAAGAGTGTAAGATGCCGGTACTGGCGGGTAGGGTTAGGACACATGTTGCGTTCTGCTTGGGGCGAAAAAGGGAGCCAATGAGAGGGCCTTAGGCACTCCTTAGCACATGGCTCACTCCTTGGCACATGCCTCATGAACCCTGAGAGTTGCTTGTGGCCTTCCCGGAGTATTCTGTTTTAGATGGGCTCTTTTGTGAGAAGGTGTCCTTGGAGTTTGAAGGCTTTTGCTTGGAATTTCCCGCGCACGGGCTCCCCCCTTCCCGTGCGCCGTCGGATTCAGAGAGCCAGGCTGGCGCTGGTGAGCAGCGGCAGCCAGCGCGCAGAGCGGCTGGCGGCGGCCTTGAAGCAGGCCATGGCAGAGGTGGGAGACCTCGCGCCCTGGCAGAGTCACACTAGGCCCCGTGTATTTTGGGGTAGCATCCCCCAAATCATTCTTTCCAGGGATCCTTCTTTTTGCAGAAAGCCCCTCAAGCTCAACTGAAACTATTGGTTTTTGAAGGGAATAATCGGCAGAATGGGGATTTGACCCCTAGATTAAAGTGGACATTTTGAGGAGTTCTCTTTTGGAGAGACTTAAACCCAGGCTGATTAACAAAACCAAGCCGAATTCAGCTGGTGAAATCCCATTTGAGTCCACCCGCAATTTTTGGTTTGGTGCTCTTTGTGTATCCTGTGGAACCCAGAGAAGGGGTCCTTCCTCCAGAGGAGATTCCTCTCAAGAGGATGTTTTCTGGGTTCCATGTCAACGTGCAGAGTAAGGGATCAACCGAAAAACAGTTGGAGAATCAAAAGATATCGAGAGCTGTCAAGCGGGGGGACCTGTGGTTGGGCGTTGCCAACTTTCACTTACCGGTGGCTCGATTGTGGCTAAGGGGCCCAGAAATGTGAAAGGGGTTGTGGGGGTACGGACCAAATCAAGTCATAAGAGAATCATAGAATTGTTTAGCCTCTCATATTTCTAGGGGTAACTTCCCCATTCTTTCCAGGGATCCTTCTTTCTAGAAAACCACCGAAAACCCTGGGGGGAAATGGCTGGTTTTTGAAAAGAACGATGGCTGAAAGAATTGGGAATCAACCCCTAGAATATTAGCTGTGTGACTCACTTTGAGGAGGGGGGTTGGGTTGCTTCCGGGAGGTGTTGCGGAAGGACTCCAAGCCGCAACTGGCCTCGCCCTCCAACGCGGAGCATGCGGCCCTGGGCGCAGAAGTCTTCCAGGAAAGTTGATACGAGCTGGGGATTGGGAAATCCCCCCATGGGATCTCTGCTTGATTTCGGCACAGAGGAATTCTGGGGTTTCCTTGCACCAAGGGAGTTGTTGTGTGACCTCATGAAGATTCAACTGGCAGGGGTTTCGTAGTTCAGATTTGTGAATGATTTAGGAATTTGCCCAGTCACAACAGGAATCAGCCACCTCACCGCACAAAGAAACAAGCAACTCGTGAAAAGCCCGCGAGAATTGTTCCCAACGGAACCCTCGAACCTCCCACAAAACCGCAAGCTCAGCATTAAGACCCCATAGCTGCAACAACTGTCACAGCTGGCGCTGTCGGGGAAGACCCATCTTCTGCCAAAGATAGTCTCCACCTCCCAAGGACCCCCAGAGAAAACGTGGTAATTACATACCCTTTGGTGGCCTTTTTTAGTGGCTGTCTATCCCATTACACCCCGGTAGTTGCTTTTTGGGGTAGTGGAAACCATCTCAGAAACTGGGTTCCAATGAAACTTCCCACTTTGAGAGGTCCAAGCTTCCATTGACACTATCTTCCATTTGAACCCATGCATTCCGCGGGTCTCTGGTTTTTCCTGGGCAACTTGGGCGTGTTGGTTGGGAATTCCCATGGGGCTCCAGACTCGCCTCCGACGTGCGACCTCCCACGTCCGCCTCGCCTCGGAAGGCCTTGCAAGGCGCCGCCTCGGAGGCCTGGGGCGAGGCCTGGCTCTCCGAGTCGCAGGCCGGGGAGAAGAAGCCCGAGTTGGAATTTGAGTCTGGGCAATCCCGAGGTCCAGGGAAAAGAGATCCAAGATTTGTCATTTGGACAGTGACACAGAGTAACTGGCGGAACACGGCCTCGCGACTTTATAGTGGAGGAAAGTTTGGGCTTGGAATCGAAGGCAAAAGGAACCTCTTTGAGACAAGCCCACGGGTCGATTGGGATGCAAACTAAGATACTAATTAGCCGTAAGTGTCACAATGAGTAGAGTCTCATATAATCCATCATCCCTGGTCATCCCCATAGAGGAGTAGAGGGTCCAGAAGCGCGCATAGATCCAAGGTTTGCTATTTACCGAAAATGAGCCCCGAGTTTTGAAAGAGTGACCTTCAAGTCGAGACGGACCTAGAGGACCTGCAAGTTTGGACCTAGACGTGGCCAGACTTGTAGCCCATGTTTGCCCAATCACCCTTCAGGGTGTCTTTATTGTGCAGGGGCCGGAGTTTGGACATTGGACCTAGGAGTTGCAAGTTTGGTTGTTTTTGTGGCTCCTTGAATTGTGCTTTTTAACAACTGGAGAAACATGCTTTCCTGAAATTCGTACTCGCTTCAGAGGAGTTGTGGAAAGCAACAAAGGTTTGGCCCAAAATTGTGGCTCTAAGCGTGATTCTTGGAGGTATGAACCAGGGATCCCGAAAATTCCCTCTTCGCCGGTTTTAAACATCACAACTTTGGGCAGTTTAATTAGAGACTGGGTATTGGTGGGGATGTGATTTTCACATGAAATATGTTACAAAACACCACACCTTCTGTTTAATTGAGGCGTTTTGCCCTTGGTGCTGAGCTTTGAGGGGGACTCCGGCCGTGCCACCAGACGCCTGGAGCTCCAGGCTTCGCACCTGGCGATCCTCGGGGGGGAGGCGGACTGGGACGCCGCGCAGCTCTGCAAGGCCCGGGCTGCATCGACCAGTCCCACGTTTCTCCGCGCGGTTCCAGTGGTACCCTGAAATGGAGAGGTGTGGGTTTGTGATTTTTGGAGGGTGTCCCTTTTGTGGTTGGTTTTAACTGGAGGCCCAGAAGGAAACTTGGGTTCCCCCCCTGTAAACCATCCCTGGTGGTTTCCATGGAGTGTTTTTTTTTTGAAATGTTCATTCGCAAAAGCCCTGGTGATTATTTACTGAGAAGCAAACACGTGTCTGCTAGATTTGGGTATCCCTCCCCAAAAAAAAAGAAAGAAAAGATGGGAAACCCACCACTGGCCCCGTTTCTGAATCGTGGTCAAGGGAGACCACAAAAGACACCTGCCGTTTGAAGGGGTCCCAAGCATAGCAGAGGTGTCTTCTTTGAGGATACAGATTTCGCCGTGTTTGTAACCAAGATTCAATTGGATTTGCCTTGAAGTGGGGGAGGGACCTTACAAGGGTTGGTTTCCCTTCCTATAGAGGGTACCCAAGAAAAGAGACACCCACATGCACATAAGGTCCATCAGCAATCCTGTAGCAGCTAGCAAGAAGATACCCCCCAAAGAATAAGCTCAGGTGATATCCCCAACAGCATGCGGTGCTCTTTTTAGTGCTCGCACCACCCCGCAGAACCTCGTGGAACCCGCGTGGAACCCTAGTGGAACCCTGGTGGAACCCTCGTGGAACCTTATCTTGGGGCCGCCCCGGACCGCCCCGGAGCCTATCTGGGCTGAGACCCCAAAGCTTTCAGCTGTTGGGGACAAAGCAGGGATGATGGTCGTCCAGCACCAAAACCGCGCGAGGTTTGTTTGAACACTAGCGAAATCCCCACAACCATCCTCGTGGTAGAATGAACCGGTGTTGTTGTTTTCCGGTGCAGCTAGCTGGCTATGAGTTTTTACAGGAAACCACCTCGAAAGTGGTTGGTGGACATGAATCCCCTAAATCATGTCCACCAAGGGGTCCGCTATTAAAAATCATTACCCACATGGATATGTCAAAGCATCTTGGGGCTGACGCAAATGGCTCGTAAATACTTGTTTGAGTTACCGCATTTGGAGGCCCAACGCTACTTGCCGGTTCTCAGTGGGGACTGAGGGAATAACCCCTATAAACCATCCCTTATCGTTTCCTTTAAGGGAATCCCTAGGTTCATTCTCAAACCCGTCATTCCCTAAGGAGCACCAGCATGGTTCAGATTGGTTAGCCTCACCCGAGGCGTTTTTTTCCGCCGAGGCCAACGGCGCCGTGGCGGCCTTGTTCGAGCTGCTCACGGAGCAGCTCTGCATGCCGCGGGTCTCTGTGGTGCTCGGGGGCGCCCAGGCCCTGCACCGCGAGGCACGTGGCACTGGGCTTTCGCCAGAAGGGTTTGTCAAACGCCTGGTTGTGAGTGAGCTGGGTGCCAAATTGGCCACATATAGATTGGTGCAAAAAGGGAACCAAAGGGGATCAGCAATTTATTGTTAGATGTATCCAGACCCCTATTTAGCACCCAGGCAAGTGAAGATGGGTAAGGGACAGTCCCCTTGCCATACATCCGCCCTGTTGATTGCCTACATGCGGTTGAATACAAGGTTCTGATTGCGACTCAGATCTCCGTGGGTTCAGGGATCGGCGTGGTGTTTGTTTGTTGTTGTGCTGTTTTTGTTTGGGGGGAGCAGTGACGGTGGTGAAGTTAGGTTGTTTTGTTTGGGGGATGAAGATGCCTTTTTTTTCTTGGCTACCCTTTGGTGACAATAATTTTAACCCTTGGTCTAGCCGCAATCAACACCTGGATACATGCTGGTTAGGAAGGGACACAGTCCCTTCCAGAGCATGTCCACCCTTTTGAAGTTTTGTCCCATGTTTTAGTAGACTCCTTCCAGGTGTTGATTCTGGCTCAGTTGGCAACTGCACAGTTGTCTTTTGCCCTCTTCTCGGTGGTTGGAACTTCAGCCTTTGAACCTTGTCAAAAACGACCCTCTTTCCCTCAAGCAGCAAAAGCTCAACTTCTTGCAGAGCAACAAGTTCAACTTTTTGCCGGGCAAAGACCAACCTAATCTTAGAGCACCATTATAATCTTGTTTGTATGTTATTTTGGCCATGAGGGTGCACGAGACTCTCCGCAAAACCGACTCTCAAACCCAGTTGCAAGTGCAGGCCCGCGTCCGGTCGGGCGTTTTGGATATGGCAGTGCAGCCTCAAGATATTTCCTCAAAACGCTCAACCCGACAGTTGCCAGGCCGAGAAGCGGGGCCTCAAGGTGATGACGTCCGAATCTTCTTCGCCCTACGGCAACGACAAGCTGAGGACCTTCCTCTCGGGGGGCGCCAAGGCGTTTGCGAGTTTCCGGGACCGTGCCAAGGCGAACTTTGCCTCCGACGCGTGACGCGGAAAGGGAAAAATCGGCCTCATTTGTGGAGCGCCGTGTTTGGGAGGGAGTGCCAAAGAACTGCACGCATATCATATTGTAATATTTAATATATAGTATCTATGCCAGGCAGACCTCGGGCTCCCTCCCTTGCGCTGGGTCCTTCGGCAGCTACGGCCTGTGTCCTACCGCTTCACCAAAGGAGCGGCAGCGGGACGCGGACGCCAATGCAGAAGCACCCACCCCCCTTCCAATGCCTGGCTTCAATTTGGGTTGTGGTAACGGTAAAGCCCATAAAAGCATTTACAACCATGTTAGTGAGTAGAACAGAAAACAATGGGTGGTGGGTGTTGCTCAATTGAGCAATGCGGATCTTTAGAGAGGGTGCCTATAATACTCCCGTTTAGAGAGGCAATGTAAACATCACCTTGTGGACTATACAGGCTTATAGGTGAGTTTCTTTCCGATTCAGGAGTGGTGAGGATTCTACGGGGCATTCAAGACACCTGTTCACGAATATGAGGCCCTAGATAGAGGTGCTAGCAGGACCTCACATGACATGTTCATGGGCTTCGGGCACTGCTGAATTCCTGGTTGCGGTGAGGTCCACACCTCCATGGCTGGTTCTCAAGGTTCGGAATGTTGGGAGGATATGTGACTCCTTGTGGCTGCAAACTGCTAGATTGCAGAGAGTTTGCAAGACAACATCTCTAAGGCTTCTGATGGGATGCCCTTGTCGCAGGCTTTTCAGTTTGTGCAGGTCGGGAAGGCCGAGGTGGATTGTGCGGAGGTGTCGGAACAGAGTGCCTCAACCCGGTGTGTGTGGCTGTCACATGAAGGGAAGCAATGGAGGGGTTCATCCAACTGCGCATGCCACACCCAGGTGTCCTTTGCACACCCTAGGTGTCCTTTGCGGCCGGTTTGGTTGAATGGTTTCAGTTTGTTTGTTTATTTCGTTCGTCAGTCTTGTCGAATTGGTCCAAAAGGAGACCTACAAAACACCTAGGGTGCCACCCCGAAAGCTGGCAGGAGTGGAGGCGAAGCATGTGCGCTTCGGCTTCATTGCCGACGAGATGGAGCAGGAAGGGCTGTGGGTCCCGCTGACCCCTTAGGTCCCACAGCCAGAAGAAAGGGAATGCCCATAGGTCTAGAAGTTAGAAGTGCCCCCGTCACCCCAATACGGCAAAGACACACCCTTTCAAGGCCTCCCACGGAACCTGACAAATTGCGCTCCCATCCAAAGGATAACTCGTAGGGTAGAACCCATTTCATTTGGTCCTGTGTAAGTAGGAGATGGCTTGCGCACACGTCTGGGAGGGCTCCTTTGTAATTCAGTGATTGATCATCGATTTCTCATTTCTGCAGCAGATGCTGAAGTTGTAGGAGCATGTCTCCACCTGCACGATCCCGAGAGCTTGGCCTCGGCTTTGTGGCTCCTGAGTAGTTGCTTTCATGTTGACTTTGAACTGCTGGCTTAGCGGCAATGTCCATACCATTTGATTGTCCCGCCAGATTCCGGCAAGGAACAATGAGTTACCCTTAGTTTGGATATCCTTAGCTTTGCGTGCGACATGGCATCCTCAAAAGTGACATTGCCAGATATGACTTGCTCCCATACCCGAGCAACTCAATCACCATGCCTTAGGGTCCCAAGACCTCGTTATTTAAGGTCGATGGGGTCACTTGTATTCAAATTGGGGTCTGGGCCTGCTAACCCACCCAGACTTTTCCGAAGCACATTTCTGGTTGACAAGTCTCCGCCCGGCACGCGGTCTGAGGGGTGGCTACCTATGACCGCACGTCTACTACAAAATGGGGGATTTTGGGCGAACGCCCTTTGAGTTGGATTTAAAGGGAAACCAAGAACAGAACAACTATTTGCGGGTCCCCCAATTCTGAAACAGTTCCAGATTTGCACGCTCCACTGCAAGCTCCGTGCACACGCACACATGAGCAGACCTGTTTGCTTGGAATGCACGCGCTTGTTGTATCGCTGCCTCGCAAGCCTTGTTTTGATAATTGCCTGGCCTAGCAACCCCATCATATGTATATATATATATATACAAAATATATGTCCACCCCACCTCCACAAAGTGGGTGTGTCATGTTTGCCCTTGTCCGGATTTAAAAAAAAAAAAAAAAACGGGACACCCCCCGGGCGACGCCAGGTGCTCCCGCAGGTGGTGCGGGAAGTGCCTACTGCTCAGGGGCCCAGGACCGGTTCGCGTCCGCGGATCGCCTGAGGCCAGATTACCCTTGATGGGTGGGTTGGATTGGTGGAGTGGTTTTGATCGGCGGTTGAGAGGTTGGTGGTTTGGTTTCTTCTGCTCACTGCTTGTTGGTGGTATCAGCTGCGGGGTCAACATGCTGACGCTGACTTTGTGGCAGCCCTGCAGGTTCCTTCAAGATTCCGGGCAGTTCTGGGGAGGTTCTGCAGCTTTGGGGGGCTTATTTGGACTACTCAGCATTCCCGAAAATACAAGTACCGTTTGAGTGTGGCTTTTTGGGGGGTAAAAGGGTCAAAAACCCAAAGTTGCGAAACGTACTTTGGTGACACAGGTATCATGTCTTGTTTTGGCAAGTATCTTCCGTTCCGGGTAGATGTTAATTATTGACCCCACCTCGACTTTCCTTTCACTGAGTCAGCCAGTTGGTCATAGTTGCGGGGTTGTCAAAGTTATGAGCCTTTTTTTGGACCCAGGTGCTGCCTCGTGCTGCCGTTTACAGGGGATTTACAGGATACACCACAAAGCGCCCCAACATTTGGCAGCCCGGAGCGCGCTCCGATTCTCAGGTCCATTTGAGCTACATCTAATCAAGACCATCCGCAAGATTCCTGTGGACAATCAAAACCAAATCGGTCTGCTTGGTTTTGAGCAGGTGGAGACCAGTCCGATTTGTCCCCTGCTATCCTATAGGGGCAAGGGTTGTAATAAGTAGGTTCCAAAGGTCAATTGTGTGTGTGTGTCTTCAGCATTTGTTCGTCATTTGCTAGGAACCATTTCATTTAGGGCACCCAAATCTACCCAGATCCGCGTTTGACACTTAAAACACGAGCTTGCGACTCCCGCAGGAAGTCCATCGTCTACACCGACCTCATTGCAGTGCTTTGCGCGGTGGTGCGGGATTTCGGCACGGAGGTGGATGTGCGCGCCTCAGGGGGCAAGAAGGCTTTGGGGTGTGAAAGTCCCAATGTGTTTGGCTTGGTGGCAAGCATCACCTGTTTGGCGCACTTGAGGTGAGTTTGCCCGGTAATTATGGGATGGTTTTAAGGGGAAAGGTAGGGAATCCTGAGACTCTCTGAACAATTTTTGTGCGACCTCACCAAAATGTCGACCTCATTCATGAAGGTTCCTCTCATGGGGCGCATCCATATTTTCAGGTTGAATCAGTGGATTTCACCGAGCTCACACATGTGGAAGGAAGGTGTTCGGGATGGGGAGTTTCAGTGGAATATGTGGGCCTTAACCGTGGCTCTCTCAGGTCACGGTTCTCTGAGTTTCTTGTCAAGGCCTCCGGTTGAAAGAAAGCAGGCTCGGGAAACAGATGGACCGCGGGACTACACTCGGATGCATTGCAGACTCCGTGAGTTGCTGTGCAAAGCCATGCACCTCCAAACAGCTCCGATTAGTGCCCTGTTCAGTCCATGCTTGGTCCAATACCCTTCCTCCCCATCAACGCACCTGTGGGAAGGTACCTAGAAGATTCAATTTCCTCTTGAAAGCTGAGGGCTTCCCTTTCACATGAAAGCCTGCAACGAATGGGCAGCTATCCTTTTCACTGAAGCGAAGATTCCAACCTGAACCAGCGGTTCGTTGCGTGAGGAGGAGGAGGAGGTGGGATAGAACAAATCCGCGACTTGCACTAATAAGACATCAACTCGGCGGTGTTTAGGCTGTGAAGCGGCGAGTGGCTCTGGCAGAAGCTGCCCTGGATAATCTGGATGAGAAGGCAGCGGCGTCTTCGGCTTCCGTTGCCCTTTGTTTTTCTGTTCGGTGTCCCTTTGGTTTCGTCTCCTCCTGACTGGTATCGTCTCCTCCTGATTGGTTTGGTTCTTTATTTGAAACTTGGCTGCATGTTGGACATGGGGTTGGGGGTTGTCTCCGTGTCCCAGCTTTTTCCAAAACCAGCCGTCGCCTGGATGTTCTCGACATTCCTTTTTGGAAAGGCAGTTCCCTGGGAAGAAAAGCGTAGTTGACCCCAAAGCTGTTCATGCGGCAGAGGTAGGGACTTGACAAAAGACTGAATTATAATTGCGAACAGGGCGTCCGACCTCAACGAACAACAAACGTTGAAGCCTGAGAAATAGGTGCACTGGCTCTTTGGATTTTAATTTGTGTAAGTCGATTGTGAATGGGGCATCCGATGCCCGCAAAATAAACGCAAAACAGTGCAAACAAAAGCAGGGGCACTGACCTCCCGTCAGCTCAAATCTAGAAAATGGCTTGGATGCGAAAGCCACATCTAGATCAAAATAAACAGCGGCTATGAGAGCCTAAGTCCCTGTCCCCTCTCCAAAATGGTGTGCAATCTTCTTTCTTTGCATTTCAGCTAATGTAGTGCAACTCAAATAACAAGGACATGTAGCCCAAGCCAAACAAACATCAGTCAACCGACATGAACTTGTACCTAGCTTGCCGGAAAAAGTGATGTCCAGCGTCCATGGAGCATGTCGAAAAAGTGGAAACTCTGTTAGCTTCCTTTGGGGATCCCGTTGAAACAACTCCATTCTAGGTCACAAATTCGTTCCAGCAGGTAGCCAGCTTGCCAGAAAAAAGAAACCGAACTGGCTCTGATGTGCAACCGCAGGGATGAGTATGTTCATGCTGGTGCATTCAACAGCTGGCATTCCTCACTCCTCAGGCTGGAAGTCCGTTTGGTTGAACATGGATGGTGCTGCTGTCATGTTTTTCCTTATCATGTGCATTTGTTTTCGAGTTGTTGAACAGGACGACGATGTAGAGATTGAATGTAAGGGCTGGACAAAGGCGCAAGGAGCCAACTTGCCACTGAGATTCAAACCCAGAGTGACCTAGCAGGCTTGGAGGATGGCTGGAACAATCTTGTTGGTCCAGCCCTTCTCGTTCATATCCTTGGCTATTTTCCAGGTGAGCAGCGCCCAAAACCCCGGTTTGGGGCTGTGTGCCAGAGACCGGGCCCACTGGCCAGGAGCCAATGTGGACCTAGCAGGGCACTTGGCTTGCCTCCCAGTTCTTTTGGCCTCGCAAGCTCCATGCAAGTGGGCAGAACTTCCTCTGTGTTGTTTCATCATCCTCTTTGCTTAAACACATGAAGGTGTGGCATTGACTTGCACCTCGGTGTAGAGCTCAGGTACTCAGCGGGGGGAGAGCTTGCTTTGAGCAAGTTGGAGCAACAGGTCAAAGACCATTGTCAGAAACACCGATCTTCCGGGTGCTAAGCACTTAACCCATGGTGTCACCACTTCGCCCACGGTGTTTAGTTTGTTTCAAAGGGTCAACAACATAAAAACTAAAGTTGCTTCTTGTAATAAACCATAATAGACCCTCTAAGAAGTGGGTGCTCTTGCTCTTGGAATCCACTGCTTGCTTGATGTTCGGTTGGGAGATTTAATTCGGGGCAGCGGCCTGGCAAAGGGAGTTTGCGACCTTGCGCACGAATAAGCTAGATGAGCAACGTCCAAAGCCTCCGTATACATGTTTAGTAAGAGTTGTGTCATATCGGGGGCGCAAGCAAATTGATGCCAAATTACAAAGCACGACACGTTCAGGGCTCGGGCAATTTGTTCAGATAACTTATCAGAGATCACAGCACCCGCGGCACAGCCAGCGAAACGTGGCTGAGGAAAGCTGCCGACGCCTCAAGGCGGACGTGTGGCTTGGCTCAGGCAGGTGAGCTTGACCATGGCTCATGCCGCCACTGTTCCTAGTGCCAGATAGCCCAGAACTAATTCGCCCAGCCAGAAACCAAAAGGTGAAGGGTTGTTTTAGACACCTCCCAGTCGTGCTGGATCTTAAGAAACTTGATGAAGAAAAGAAATGACAACATGTTTTGCAAGCGTGCCGCCATTGCCACGCGGTTTGAGGAACTGTCACTTACGGCCCAACCACAATCATAGAGTCGCACCAGTCGAGCATGATCACATTTTGGTCAGACCTGTGTCTGGCAGAGATTTGACTAGAGACTGTGATGTGGTTGGTATGTTCCAGAGCAATCGTTCAGCTCCTCTGGAGTGGTTATCTTTGTCTCAATTTCGAAGAGGTGTTGAAAGGGCAAGAGTTTTCTTCAGCAATTGGATACTTTCAGGTTTGCTGCTTGAACCTCTTCGGACCCTCTCCCTCTAACCCTTGTTTTTTGTACAGCCCCAAAACGTCTTGAATCAAACAACCCTTGTTGTGCAATGGCCAGATTGAAGGCAGCAGGGGCTTTCGGCAGCTTGTATGGCTTCACAAACAAGACCTTGTAAATGCCAATATAACATTTAAAGAGGGAAACGGCTGTTCGCGAGGCTGTGCTGATACATCAAACAATTCCAAATAATTCTTCGATTTCAAAACATATACATTATATATTAAGATATGGTGAACATAATTGAATTCTAGAATTATTTGGCTTGATTATAATAAAGATATTCAAATGATATATTAAAAACATATTTTATTTGAATGATGATTGATTCACTTAATCAATTTATTTTATATATTTATATAAGAAATATAATATTATAATAGTATTCTCCTATAAACCAGTACGGCCTCTCTGCCTCTCTGTCTCTCTGTCTCTCTGTCTTTTTCTCCCTCTGTCTCTCTGCCTCTCTGTGTTTTTGTGCGTTTTTGTGTCCTTCTGTGTCTCTGTCTCTGTGTCTCTGTCTCTGTGTCTCTGTCTCTCTCCCTGTCTGTCTGTCTTTCTGTCTGTTTGTTTCTGTCTGTCTGTTTGTGTCTGTTTGTTTCTGTTTGTCTGTATGTCTATCTGTCTGTCTGTCTGTCTGTCTGTTTCTGTCTGTCTGTCTGTGTGTTTCTGTTTGTCTGTCTGTTTGTCTGTGTGGTTCTGTCTGTCTGTCTGTTTGTTTCTGTCTGTCTGTCTGTCTGCTTGTGTGTTTTTGTTTGTCTGTCTGTTTGTTTGTTTTTGTCTGTTTGTCTGTCTGTTTGTTTCTGTTTGTCTCTGTCTGTCTCTGTCTGTCTCTGTCTGTCTGTCTTTGTCTGTCTTTGTCCGTCTTTGTCTGTCTCTGTTTACCTCTATCTGTCTTTATCTGTTTTTATTTGTTTTTGTTTGTTGTTTGTCTTTGTTTGTTTTTATTTGTTTGTTGTTTGTCTCTGTTTGTTTTTGTTCTTGTTTGTCTTTGTTTTTGTTTGTCGTTGTTTGTTTACGTTTGTTTGTGTTGTTTGGTTTTGTTTATTGGTTGTTGTTTATTTGTTATTGGCTGGTTATTGTTGATTGTTTGTTGTTGATTATTTGTTTGTCGTTGTTTGTTTACGTTTGTTTGTGTTGTGTGTGTGTGTGTGTTTGTTTATTTGTTGTTGTTTATTTGTTATTGGTTGGTTATTGTTGATTGTTTGTTGTTGATTATTTGTGTGTTGTTGTTTATTTGTGGTTGTTTGTTTGGTATTTTTTATTTGTTGTTTTTTGTTGTTGTTGATTGTTATTTGTGTATTATTGATATTATAGATATTTATATATTTATTGTTATTTATTATTATTATTATTATTTGGTTATATTTGATTGATTATTTATTTGATTTAAATGAATTTTAGAAGGATTTTTTATGGTATGGATATTAATTGAAGGATAATTAAGGATATTTGAAATATATTAGAAAGTAGATTTTATGGTAGGGGTAGTATTTGAGTATTTTATTTGAATATACGAGAAGATTGAGAATATATGAAAACGTGATAGAGTATAGGAAATTATTGTCGAAGATATACGAAAAGGAATTTAATTATGATATTTGATTGGAATATTTTTGAATGGGGTTTTATTGATATGGTAATACGGAGGTTTTGTGATAGGTATAGCATTTTGGCGAATCGAAATATAGATTTTATAATTGATATAAATATATTTAAAATCTAAATATATTTTTTGTGGTAATTATATTATTTGTTACGATATTGATATTATAAATATAATTTTCGAAATACATTGGTTTTAATAAATTTTGGGGGGATATATATGGATTCATGTTTTGTATATTTAGAATAATTTGTTTATATATATATATACGATTATAAATGAAATTAATTTTATAATTTATATTTTATTTATTTTCTTATTATAAAATTTATTTTACACATTTCTATAAAATAATAAATCCTGATTAATATATATATATATAAATAATATAAAAAAAATAAGGATAACAATAAACTAATTAATAATTAAAAAACAAAATAAATTTAATAATAAATTAATGATTGGCCATATTGATGAATTAATTTATTATGGAATTCAAACAAAAAAATGTTTTATAGGTTTATAATAATTATAATTTTATTACCCGATATATAGGATTCCTAAGCAAGGAATCTTTATGGTGAGCTCGTTTAAATCCCGATCCGGAGCTTACGATAGGATAAGTAAAACCTAATGGCCATGAGAAAAAAGATATATTTGATTGGTTGATTTTAATAGGGACTTCATTTTTTATAACAAATTAACACGGGGAATCCCTCAATTTAAGCGCTAAATACCCCATGCTTCTAACACAGGTACTCGTTTAGGGTCGTTGGGCAACTAGAAGTAGCACGATTATGAGGTGTTTGAAGAGATATTCTAGGCGAAATTCTTGCTCCTCGTTACATTTAGTGGCATGTATTTAACCGGCATGGCGTGCTTAGAATTTGAATATGGGAAAAAAGGTAATATTGACCAACTGTTAGGGCGCATAAGCATCCATCGTACTAAGCCGTATCGCTAACAAATGCAGACTTGCGGCACTTATATTGCAATTTACCGAAAGGAAAGCAATTTGAAATACATTTGCATGACGCTAAAGATTTGTAGCCGGAACATCCTCAATAGTTAGACAAAAATCTCAAAATAAACCCAATCAAGAGTTCCTAATTAATCATGCCCACAACAATCCCTACGTCAATCTTGTTTATAGCCTCTCTCTGGCCAAGGCTAACTCCGTTAAAATTTCATTTAAGATCGCGATAGGCCGCTTTCCAAGCTGGACAGGCTTAGCCGAGATCAATGTGCCTTCTCGATTCACCAATATTCCAGTCGTTGTTTGCCGAAAGGATTAAAACACGGAATCCAGTGTTAGAAAAGGCCTATATTCTTCTCACATTGGAAAGTCCTTGTTCCTGTCCTTAAATCATTTTGCCCACAAATTCATAGAACCCATGAAAAATACAACAACCGATTTTAACAGCGATCTCCTTCTCGGGATCGTTGTTAGATTCCTTCTTTTGCCCCGATTCCGCTTTAGACCTCCACCGGCTGACGCGCAGCGGCTGCGCTTGCCTGGCATAGCCATGGACTTAACTGGGGGGATACATGAATATAGGGGACCCAACAATTGACGATTGTATTTTTGTTTTTTTTATATTTTCATAGCGTTCTTTTAAACCAAAGGTGAAAAGGAAAAAACAAAACAACGATACTATATAGAGTGATATATGGACGATTATCGGCCGAAAATTGACGTAATGTTTGCAAGTAAGCTAATTAAAAAGATTTATTGGGTGTAGAATATTCGACTAAGGATTTCAGACACAGTTTCGTTCAAAGTCCGAACCATTTTTCCGAAATATTCCGGATATTTCGACGATTATACTCCGGACTATTTTGTCGAAATATTCCGAATATTTTGACGATGGTATTTCCCGAAATATTCCGGGAAAATGGTTCTCGAAATATTCGGAATATTTCTAGAAAATGGCGGGTGATTATGATTCCCGGATAGTTTGCCCGAAATATTTTAAATATTTCGGGACATTGGTCTATATAAAGAATAAAGCCATTATATCTTCCGCACATATGCCATTGTATCTTCCGCACATATGCCGGGGTAGCTTGAATAGGTTTGGGTAGTTGCGATTCCCGGACTGTTTTTTCCGAAATATCCAAAATATTTTGGGAAATTAGTTTTTATAAATATGTTTTCCGCACATGTGTCCGGAGTAGTCCGGATAGATTTGGGTAAATGGTCTATAAGAAACATAAAGCGGTTGCATCTTCTAGGGGCAGCCCGGACCAATTT